CTTGTAAAAATTGGTCATGCTCCTTCATGGCTTGCATGAGAAACATCGGGCGATTCGGTGGAAGAACTTCTGAGTTTTTGCAAAAACCTTAGGCTAGACTTGGCAAAATGACTTGACGCACGCTTTAGTGGCATGATCATTGCACATAAGCACATGTACATAACCTGATGTATTTGTAAATACTAGAACTAGTGGATAATTTGCATGCTGAAATAGTTGACGTTTCAGGGGAATCTTTGATTACCAAGGTTGGGATTTTTATGTAAGGAAATCCTGGGAAAATGCGCCACAGAACGGCAAAGTATTCATGATCAATGTCTGAAAATATGCTCATTAGAGAGGCATGAAGATGGGAATACGATGCGGTAAAGATTCACAGAAGCAAATGGCAACAAACTGCAGAGGAAAATGAATTTCACACAGGAGAGGATCAAGGTTTCAGGAGTTTTCCCAGCCCTTACACATGATTTTAAAGTTCTCATCTCTGCCTCCTTCCCTTCCCTTTCCCTCCCTCCCCTCCCTTTCTCTCCGTCCCCACTCCCACCCTCCTTCCCGAAATTGAAGGATGAAAGGAAAAGTGGTCTGTTTGCAACAACAAAAAAATTTCCACGGAAGGATTGTGTATTCCAGTGACCGCCTTCGTAAAATGGGGAAAGGTGGCATGCATAGATAGGTCAATTCCTCTTTTACAAAATTAAAAAACCCACCATATTCAACAAAAGGTGAAAGCTTCCATGAGCACTAAACCAACTATACTCTTTTCGGAAATTTTTTGCAGATAGACCACTTTTCCTTTCATTATTCAACTTCAGAAAGGAGGGAGGGAAAGGGAGGGGAGGGAGGGAGCCAGGGAAGAGAACTTTAAAATATTGTTAGTTTGGTGAACATTTCTTTTGTTTTTCACAATTATAGGTTGAAAATATGTAATTAACTTACGAATAACTCAAAATGTGCATTTGTTTGCGATGAAGTCAATCTATCAAAAAATGTGCACGATTAAATCAGAGATACATCTTTAAATTCACAACACTGAGTATGAGAGAGAAATAAAGAAAATGCAATTGCATAAAAATCCCAGCCGTGGTCATTACACTTCATGTCGAATGCTCGCACGGAAGAATCAGTCAGAGGAATTCTGCCTCTTCTCTGGTTTGCTTCCAGGAGAAATGCACTGGAACTGCATGATGCAAAGCACCCTTCCAGTCCTCACTCTGTTGTTGTTCGTGGCGGGCAAGTGCGAGTGCACGGAGGACCCCAAGGCAGCCCTGTACCTGGGATCCTTCGGGCCCGAGGCGAACCCAAAGACGGAAATCGCCCGGGACAAGCGGACCTTCCTCCCGGCGTCCAAGTGCAATCAGTACAACTGCTGCTTCGTCCAGCAGACGTCTTCGTTCTTCTGTTGCCTCATCAACTTTAACAAGCCCTGCTGCAGTTGCATCTTTGGCGGCAATAGCAATTCCGGTCTCAACCAGAACTACTACCAATATCCATACTATCAAAACCAGTACTACAATAACCCATACTATCAGGGTTATGGGTGATCCGGTGGAAATGACCTTTGAATACGGAACGTCCTTCTGTGCCTAAAACTTCCAATGAATAAGGACCGCAAACTTCATGTGACTCAGTTGCAGGGATCGATGCTTGCTTTTCCGAGTAAACTCGATTGTCCTTTTGTTTAAAGCTTTTCAGTAAGTCACTGTTTCAACGGATGAGCGAGACTCGAAGGCGTTGCGATCCCGTAAATCGACATGCTCCCCCCCAAAATTATAAATTTATTTAGAAGGCCGTGCCTTCGTTAAATGAATGGTCTAACTCGACTCGGGTTTTTTACTTGGCAAAAAGGCCTTTTCACGTTCCGCACCTAGAAATCTTTTTTGGCATTTGTTGGGTCCATTTGCATAGCAAGCAAGCCTTCGTCGATCCCATCGTAATGATCGATGTGCCACCACGTAAGTAATAATTTTTTAATTTTCTGTCAAACCGGTCCCGTGGTTTGTTTTCTATGGGAAACTATCGTGTCGTCGAAGTTCTGATGACTTTAAATGTACTCAAAATGCGAAAATTGAAAAAAAATTGTAGCCTCTTCAGTATGGTGTCAAGTGAAAGTTCTCGAAAAGAGTTTTCGATATGATATAAATGTAAATATTTAAAATAGCAATAGCATTTCAACATTTTCCACCATTACCTGACGATGGGGGGCTGGTAACAATGCCAGACCTGGTGGACTTCGTAAATTCTGAAATATTAAAATTCAATTTTAAATTTTACTTTTATCCCACAGAGAGAAGAATCTAACAGTAGTTGGCAAATTAGGCAATTTTGGCCAACTTTAACCTGATTTTTGTCCATGTGGAGGTCAAGTTCAAAATTTTGAGACTGAAGGAAATTTCAGGTTCATTGTGTTAATGAAGCCACTGCAACGCAAAAATGTAAATTTTGGATTAGGTCCGAAAGGAAAATTTACGGATTTGGTTGATCCAAAAATAAAGTTTGTGGGGCGCCGCCGTAGTTTGGATAATTTATCCAAATGCACCGGTATATGGGAACTCACATGGAAATATCATACAACGCCCGATATAAAAAATAGCCTTAGACGAAAGTATTTGGAACATATTTGGTTTTCGACACAAGTAACACATCGACACCTCAGTTCAACAAATGTATATTTCTATCTGATTTTTCTGAATCTGAAAATCGTTTCAATTCCATAGCAATTATCTGCATAAAAAGCATTTCCACCCAATTTTTGCTATTGCATTGAACACTAGTAAACAGGCTCATCTTGAAGGGGAAATTGTTAAAGTTTCGCACAAAAACTTGAGTGTTAATTAAAGTGATTTCTTTTTAATTTTCCCCACTTTCAGATAGAGAACCTATGGAACAGCCGTGATGATGGATTGTTGTTAAAACTGTCAGAATGCAATATTTGAATCATACAAGATTTATATGTTCGTCTGTACAGTCATTCCATATCTTGCCCGTGCATGCCATGTCGTGTTTATACATACATGCCACATTTGAAGTCATGTATATATGTACTGTATATACAATGTAATATATACAAAAATATTATTACAAGAATGTTTTGCAAGGCATTCACGACTTTTCGTCGAAAGACAATAATGGTGACTGTTCAGAATTTCTAACTCCATTCCTGCCGCATTGATGCTCAGGTCGAAAAGACTCAAGAGCGAAAATGACAAAGTGCTTCCTTCATGGAATGTTGAAATCAGATTTCATTCCACGTCTAAATACGTTGACGGAAGCCATTTCGTAATGTTCCAGTCCATTAATGCCTCGCTAATTGTATTTTTCTGTTACTTCTGAAGAGGAAGTTACAACTCCCTTACGCGATACTACTGCATGTCCCCGATATATATATAGATAATATATTGTAGATAAAGTAATAATATCTATAGATTACTGTGCTGATACATCGGAAGGTGAGAATGAATTTGTTTCGACGCCGTCGAGATTCGAAACACGAAATTCTTAACCATGGCGCTTTCATTTCATCAGGGCAGTTATTACTTTTGGTGTTTGCAGGTTGCACATTACTCAAGGGATTTGTGGATCCTATATGCGAAGAGTCCAGACCCTTCGCAAGGTCAAAAATGCAATCGAAACAGTTCACATTCTTTTGAAAATTTTCATTTGGAGTCCCATCATCTGACTTGCAAAAAGCTAAAACATAGTTGGGAAAAAATGTCGAAAAGCACTTCAATTCACGAAGCCCCCCCCCTCCATGTGTACCTAACTTCGGACACCATAGAATAAATTGTTATCAAACAAAGCATTTGCGAGGTCACCCTCAAACAGCTCTTCCAAGCTGCGAAGAACTGTTTCGGGGGGAAAGTTCACCAATGCTTGGTTTTGTAACGATATACGTAGTAGTGTCCGAACTTAGATGGTTTTACCCTATTTCTTCATTTTTCGCTTTTGAAGTTATACACTTATTATATATTGGAACATGAATGATTTCCTCCAACATTCGGTTGAGGCTGGGAGATCTCTACTTAACTCTGCCCATGTTCAAGCTAACCCCACATTATTGGCAGCGGACATTGCAATTTAGTGAATATGGCCATTGAAAGTGGTCCCAAGAAACCCCAAATAATTTTGAGTGAAGTTTAAGTTCAAAAAGGATAGAAAATGGTGACTTCTTGTATGGAAAGTACAAGTTTTTTGATTGAGAGACATATTCCATTGGGATGCCTGCTTGGATTTGGATTTCAGGTTCGATTGGAGCGAGGCAATTCCCTGATCCTTGAGAACAGGTAAAAGGTGGATAAAATAAATTAAAACTTGCATAAAGCTGGATAGCGATGTGCCTTCTGAGCACATATGTGAAACATGAAGTTATTTAGAGGAAGAACTTCGAGTCATCACAAATATTCTACACTATACTTGGCAGGTTAATATGAGGCAGATATCGTTTTGAATAATTTTGATTCTTTTGTGGTTTGCTCTTAGGAGAAATACAGTGGAATCCTACGATGCAGTACACCCTCATAATTCTCACTGTGTTATTGTTCGTGGTGGGAAAGTTCGAGTGCAAGGAAGGTCCAGAAGCAGCCCTGTATTTGGGATCCTTTGGGCCCAAGACAGAAGCGAACCCAAAGACGGAAATAACCCGGATCAAGCGGACCTTCCTCCCGGCGTCCAAGTGCACTCAACTTAATTGCTGCTATGTCCAGCAAACGTCTTCATTCTTCTGTTGCATTATCAACTTTAACAAGCCCTGCTGCGGTTGCATCTTTGGCAGCAATACTGGTTCCTTAGGTACCAACTACAACTACCAGAATCCATACTCTGGTTATCAGAATTATCCATATCAGAACTTTGGGTGATCCAGGTCAATGACCACGTTCAGATGACATTTGAATTCAGCACATGCTTTCATTGTGCCTTGCATTTCCAAAGAAGGACCACAAACTTTTGTGATTTTGATGCACAGATAAATGTTTGGTTTTCAAGTAAACTCAAGGAGAAAAATCCCCTTGACTGTCCTTTTATTCAAAGCCCTGCAGTGGGTGACATTATCACAAGAGATGAACATGAAAAGATCACTTGAAAGTGTTGACAGACACTTGGTAGATGACATTGAGGAGATCCTGAGTTGCAATTGGCAAGGTCATGGGAGAGTGACCTGATGGCACAGGACTTCTCTTTGGGGACATTAGGCTTCGTCTCACATAGCGCTCCAGGCTGCTCCGAATCGAATTCTGGGAGGAGGGGGTGATATTTCACATGACACTTTAGTAAAACCAGGCTAAGTATGAACAAGTCAGAGAAGGTTACTTAGAAAGTTCATGGACAGGAAAGCTAATGAACAGGTCAACAGAGTAAATGCAGTCAAAGATAGTCAACCTGAATGATATTCAGCTGGCCCTTTCATTAATGTTGACAAAAATCAAGCATCTGGCTGGAAGTCTCATACATCCTATATAAAAAATTATCTACAACAATAGTCACTCATCTGGAATTTTCCTGAAATAGGATTTTAAAAATCTGTCTCCCTAGACCATTTTTATTCAGGTTTCGAAAAGATAAGATGGAATGCAATTGTTTTTAAAAATTTAATTTAATTTATTATTCCCAAGGAGAATGCAAAAGAAGTGAAAAAGAAGAAATGCTTCTGGTTTCATTTACAAATCCCCCCCTCATCTTGAAAATCAAAGGGAAGGAGGGGAAGACCTATTATATAGATCCTCTTCCCTCATTGATGAAATTCTCCCCATTTTCTTCTTCATTATTCTTTGTTCTTCCTTGTCAAGTAGATCACCATCTTTTTCACACATTCCTTCAATAATTCTCTCATTTATGAATAAGCTTGCTTGCTGCCCTAGAAAAATCCATTTGCCAAGTTTTGCATAAAGTAAAATAAAAAACAAGGATTTCTTCAATGTGGCAGAAGAATTGAGGCTTAAGTGTTTGAAAAAATGGAGCACAGGAAGACATATTACAGTACCTTGAGAAAAGTTTTCCTTCTCCAAAAAAGAAAGGATAAGAACACATAATCACTCACAGTCTGGCTTGCAATACCAGAAATCAGTACAACTGCTAATCCAGACAAAATCTTAAGACTCACTTGAGAATCTAAAGTCAATCATTGACTTAGGAGGACTAAACCAGGTAAAGGGGGGGGGGGGGAGAGAAGTAGAAGTAGCATTTTGGAAGACAGCAGAGGCTTTCTCCATTGCAATCCTTGGGTAAGACAGTGATTATCTGTTTTGGAAAACAATTAAAAAAGGAGAGCTTTGGGCACAGGAGTGGCTGTCATGAAATGAAGGTGGTAGGATTAACCAGAGCAGGTCAAAGTGGCCTCCATGTTCGTTTTGTGAGAAATCCTGACTAAACAAGATACATTTTCAAAATCAATGCAATAAACAAAGGTAGTCTATACATACCAGTTCTGCTCCAAGCTCCCTGCAAATGAACTGCTGATCATCACTGGACTGATTGGGAGAGGAAAGGATGAGAAGAGCCTGAGAGAGTGCAAGAGAGAGACTCTGCTCCAAAACAGAGACTACAACCCTTCCTCTCATCTCTCCTTCTACTCCTTCTGCAGTGCACTACAGACATTCACAAGAGACATGGCTATCAACTATCAAGAAGATGAAAATGGTCTTCAAATTATGCATGCAACATATATACTCTCTTTCTATGCTTTTGGCTGGATGATGCTGTGCAGGATAATTTTTTATAAGTATTAAATTCATCATCAAATAATATTGACTCCATCACAAAGGAGTAATGATTTATTGCGAGGATGCATAATTTAATCACCCAGTTGATTTACATCGCCATATTCTTACCTTCACCAAATGATTTCATCACCAAACTCAATGAATCTCACTCCAAATTCTCCCAATTTTCACCATATGCTATATGACCACTATAACTTTAATAATGACTTGGCACCAAATAATTATTAAACTCCACATATCAAAAGTAACAACAATATCTCATCTGGTAGTGGTAGCCTTCTATGACCAAATCATCACTTAATATGAAGAACAGAAACAATATGTTCTCCAAATGTTCAGCAGCATTGAAAAGATTTCAAAGCAAGCAACAAATTAACACTGAATCAGAAGCACTGAGAAACTAGGTAACAAGATTTGGTACTGTGAACTCCTCAAATGAAGAGCTAATACAAAACATGAAAGGAATCTGGCTGCCATGCCATGCCACCAGGGCTATAATGGCAATAACTAACTGTCCCTTGAGTGACCTTTAAATATGCTCTAGTTGAGCTGATTATTTGCACAGAAGTTTCTATTTGGAATTGTACAAAGATGAAGGTTTAAGAATATAAAAATTTCAAAGCTGAAAAAAAAAAAGCTTTCTTTTTGTCCACCCTAATGTATAGGTCATAGGTCTTCTACTTCTGCCTTGTCCTATATTTTACATGGAAAAAAGAGGACATTTCCATATTGTTGGTTGCTGATGGTGCCACCATTATGGATGACTGGAACAGCAGAGACAAAGAGTGCTAATTACATTTTTTAGCTTCTATAATAAACCTCAAATGTCATCAATTTTTTTAAATTAGTGATTTCATACCGCTTTGTGATGGTGTCATACTTAATCAGTTTGGGTCAATGAAGATTACAAAAGGAAAGGTGCAAACCTTTATCAGATGAACATCCCAAATATTGAACAGCAAAGGTAAGAGCTATGGGATGAGCAATTAGTATTTCTGCTTCCCACAAAAATGTGAATAGATTGTTCTTAAGTAAAGTCACTAAAGTGCAGCCTGCACAGAGCAGGCATACATCCACCATGTTGGATGACAAGCTGTTCTGTTAGTCACACCCATGCTCTTTAAAATGCTCAAATACTGTGCCATTTTTGGGTGTGGCACTCAATTGAGTAGATGGGGTGGGCAGGTCCTTTTATCATATCCCAGCTCAGGTAACACATCAAGAAGCAGAAACAGCCAAGTTTAGCTGACAAAGGAGAGAAGCTTGGATCCAACATATCAAGAAAGTCAATTAAACAAAGGAGAAGCTTCCATAAGCAAAAGTTGGCTTGAAGCACTTCATATTAGAGAAGCTGCAGTGTAATGATATGGATGTAATGGAGAGGATAAGAATATTAAGCTTAAGCCAATGCTTTCCTTGGCTTTCATATATATGGACTCTTGGCTAGCCCTAAGCTAGTAATTAATAGCAATTATCTTGGCATTGATTCCATAAAGATCCTAAGATTGCCATGTTGCATTAACTTGCAAAGATAGTGAGTTTTTTGCAGATGCATTCAGAAACTGAAAGTTACTAGAATACATAGCATCAAAAGGAAGCACATGAATTTTGCTTTGTTTTGCTTGAAGAAACCACTCTCCTTGTCATCCAACATGGCCAGAAGGATATGCATATGAGATTATACTTTGATGCCAGTACAACCTGTCTATATTGACCAAAGTGCATTTGAGAAGAATAAAATATAGACTTCTACTTGAGCTACTGTTATTATTCCCTGCTTCATTTGTTAAGGAACAGCACTCACTACATTCTGTAGGTTGGTGTAGGGGTAGGTGTTGGGTAGGATGGAATTAAGGCCATCTTTTAAAGATTACAGGAATATGAAAAAATGTAAAAATGTAGCAAAGTTGAAAAAAATAATAGGAATGAAATACTGCTACCCCATCTGGGTAAAATGGAATGACTATGGTTACCCATTCCTGCAATCTGTGATGCATTACAAAGTGTAAAGTGACTTTTGGATCACCCTATATATAGATCATAATATATATATCATGCCTACCACAGAATACAATAATTTGCCACCAGTCCACCACATTCTTAAACATTTCACATTTTCTTGATAGCTGAAAATCAGCACAATGCAAAATTTTCAGCATGACAAATTTTCTCAATCAACAGGCTTTCTATATGGAAGCAAAAATACTTACATCATGAAGAAAATGTTATGAAATTTATAGTATTATGGAATGCAGAATTTGGGAATCAGAACAAAATATTTTAATGTAGACCTTTAAAAAATAGGACTAAAGAGTAGGAAAAAAAGGGCAGAGACATTAGGTTACATTCCAGATGCAAATTCCTCCCAAATTTTCCAGAATAAAATGTCTCCTTGATATTACCTACAGTGGAGTTCCATGTTGTTAGACTTTCAAAATAGCGATGTCCAAATCAGAATCAAGTGCAAAGGATTTTTATACACATATCTCAGAAAAAAGCCCACCTTGGGAAGAACACGGATGCAAGCAGTGGCAGCACCCAGGATAGTACCAAATGACAAAGAGGTGTCACCTGTGACACCATCAGAAGAGTCCCAGCTTAGAGAAGGTGTAGCAAATGAGGTAGAGAGGATGGGAACCCATTGTGACACATCCTCAAGCACTAGTCTTCCCAGAAAGTCTTCCAGAGAGGGACCAAATTTCCTCAAAGCACTCAATCCAGCACTCAAGACCATGAACAGTCTGCAGTCAGAAAAGAGAACATATTCAATAGAAGCTTGCAAGGAATGGGAAAAAAAAACTACACAGTAAAGATTAAATTAAAAATGTACAAATAATGAAGTTTTTAAGCAGAAAATAACTGAAATAAAGATAACTGATCAAAACAAGAGGAAGACCTTCCACTTGATATTTAAAATATCAAAGTCACAAGCAAGAACATGATGGAGTACTAACTGCTGCATGGTGGAGAGGAGTTTAGGTGACCAGTGACGAAGTGGGTCAGAGCCTTCCATCTCTAGCGGCTGAAATGGTGCAGAAGAGCTGGTGCTCCCTGCACTCATGCTTCGAATCCTCCCCTTCTCATCAACATTGTCTCCTATGGCCATCTGCAGTACTCCAGGGTGCAGGAGGTAAACAACACATCTTTCCACACACACTCCTACTTCTCTCTGCAAGATAATAAAAAAAAGCAATAGATTCACAAGGAACATGAATTAACATCTTTGTAAGGTTACCAATCAATTAAGGATTAAAGGATGCTTAGCAATCAGCTCATAGTAGGCAATCAAATAATTCTGTGATTAAAAAAGTGGTCACCACAGCTTTCAATTCATCTTTTCTACAGTGTGTCAGGCACAACCCATAGCATCCTCATAGCCAAACAGATTCTCACAAACATGCCAGTCCCAACTCTGCCAATTCTAGCATCTATATTTCCATGAAAGTTACTCCTTCCATTACTTGGTGGACAGAGAAGGAAAATGGGTTAGGTACACCTTCTATCATTTGGAAACAAATGATTTTCCCCTCATCAGCAGTTTATCATGACAATGGTGCTCAGTTTCCATTTAGCTCAAAACTTACAAGTAAGTTGTCTAGGCAGAGGGGATGTTCACGCCACCACTGCGCTTTGTGGTTGCTGAGCAGGCTGAGGAAAGATGTGATAGCAAGGGTGAGCTTCAAGTTTCCCACATCCAGCTGATTGAGCAGGGAAGCAAGAACATCTTGAAACACAGCTGCAAAAGTGAGCACCTCTGAGAAGCTCATCTTGTGACAGGAGAGGAGATGGTATGAGATGGCCACAAGGGATGACAGACCATCCTTCCATTCTTCCTTCATCTTCCCTTCCACCTGGTATGCATCACAACCATGCACCATCCTTTATTTGCAATTACTATGTGCACTTCTACCAATTAAAAGACCCAGGGTCTCTCTCATAAATATAATGTGACATATACTTCATATAAGAACAGTGAGAGGGATGGAAGGAGGATTTCTTTTGAACAGCAAATCAATGGAAGTTGTATGGAAACTAATCAGATTGGTGATACTTATCAAGCAGGTATACACTGATGCACAAGCATCAAGCATCAGGGATAGGGACAGGGATCACCCCTTTCACACCTAAATCAGTTGAGGCCCATGATTCCCAAATAACTAAATCAGCTCCGGGCTAATATGAATGTGGAGGAAAACTAGTGACATTCATGTGATCAAGACAGAATATTTGAAACATCCAATGAAGAATGAAGTATCTCCCATTACTAAACCATGAGTGATAGCAAACTGGGACTAAAAATCACAACCACAGCTATGCTTGGCAATACCCTCTCTATTCTTGGACTTGATTCTGTCTTTGCATTTTTTATCCTTTAAAAATTGAACTGGAAATGAACAGGCAGTAAGTCTTTCTGTTGCTATGTCAGCCTGTTTATTTTTGTGAGTTTGAACCAGGCAGGCATTAAAAAGGGCATCATACTGGCAATACAGACAGGGCCAATATTTATTCCATGTGAAGTAATTAGATGATAAAACATAGCTAAAAGGGGTCCAGGTTTAGATGGCCAGTTCTACTATGCAATTAATAGTATGGATGCATGAAGCATCCAATCTAGGCCTACACAACATATAGCTATGGTGAAAATAAAAATGTATTCTTAACACGTTAGCGACAATGCGTCCTGATGCCAGGATGCAGATTTTTTTTCAATGAATACCCTCTGGAACTGTTGAGAACATTCCAGAAGATTATGATTTCGTAATTACTGATAAAAATTCCAAAAAATTCAACATAAAAAAAAAACTCGGCAAAAAAATGTTTTCTGGGACCATGCGTCCTGATGGCAGGACGCATTTTTTGACAAAAAAAATGCGCATGGTCCCATGCGGCGGACAAGCAAAAATAGGCTGGTCGTCAACGTGTTAAATGCATTGTATCCCCTCACTTTTGATCCAACAGTTAGCATTGCTGATGGTGGGATAAGTGAAATGAGAGGTAGCTGATCTTTCCTGGCTGTACAGCACTGCCTCCATGAAGAGGAAAGGAGTGTGTAAAATACCAGGAAGCATAGACTAGGCACCACAAATCAACAGTGTTGTCCACAAACACAACTATACATAAGATGACATATCTTTAGAACCTATGGTCACTCCCATGGAAGGGTTTTTCCAAGAGATTTCCTTTTACCAGGTAATTCCTTATTGGGCCATTCCATATCAATTTAATCAAAAACTGAAATCGAAATTTGCAGCTTGACCAATATGGATTTGCTTAAAATTTGGTACATTCAAGGCCTTATTGGGAAATAAGTGTTATGCTTTTTTACTACTGGAGGACTTCCAGGGATATCTGTCATCTCAGCTTCTCCACATGGTCCTAGTTGTCGTCATTCAACATAACCACACAACTACCAATATTATAATATATCACAATCAATTTTAATATCTAAAGTGTAGACAGGAGGCAGGCTCAAACAGGAAGACTCTTCAATAATGAACTCACCTTCTCACAGCAAAATTCAAGAAGAATTCTCAGCCATAAGAACAATACACATTCACAGTAACAAAACTTACACAATATCTTTGTGCATGTACTCATGCATATTTATTTCATTGGGGTGTGGAGGATTCAACAGCCATGGAAATAAATAAATTGTGACCATTTTGGAAGTTTGAAAATTAGGTTCTGCCCTCTCCATACTCCCATAACATAATTAATAAAGAAATAGCATTTCTCAGGCAAAAGAAATGAAGCAAACCTGGAGGCTGGACTCTAGAGCAGTGAGGAATGGCAGCCAGAGACGAGCACCAAGGACACCACCGAGAAGTGGTCGGGAAGTTTGGGGCAAAGATGACACCTCAACCAGAATGACCAAGAGACCAGATACCATCCTCACACTCTTTCCTGCCTGATAAACAACAGGATTCTACAGTTCACCAGTAATTCTTTCCATGTCAAGAAGACACACTATAAGTTTGCTCAATGCAAAGGCCTTCCACTGCTCCTACTTTCATTCTCCAATTAAGTGACCATAAATCAGCATTGTTTTCCACATACCATTTCAAAATTGTAAATACAAAATAGAAAAACCTTTCCAGTCAACACAATCTTTGTTAGACTCCCAGCACTGCTGTTTTTTTCCCCTAAAATTTTACTTTACCTCCTCATGTTTTAGGACATAATGAATGAAGAGTCTGCAAGACTTATCAGGACAGCCAGCTTCACAGCTGTTCTAGACTGAATTTTCCAGATCTACTCTTAGGAACTGCATTTCTTTTCAGGGAAAGGAAGCACTAAGGAAGCATGACCATGGAAAATCCAATGCACCTTGAGCATTTCTTTGATAATAGTGAGGATGGCATAGAGGAGGGACTGCTTGGAGAAGATGAGATTGACTTGGGTGTCTAGGTCATTTCCACTCAAGCGAAGGAGTCCAGACAGAAGACTAGCAGCCAAAGATACCCGGTTGGTCTCTTCATCCACACCTTTCCCTTGCGCCAGGGTGTCAAAAAGGGTGCCCATGTGCCGGCATAGGATTACACCCACAGCCTCAAAGATCTCACATTGTTTCTTCTTCTCTCTTACTATATCACCTGTAATGATTCCTAGGACTCAAGCATACAGTCACTGTAGATGAAATACTGTCATATGGAAGGTATGGCACCTGGAATGAAGGACAAAGCCTGGCATGCAAGGCTGAGGATTGGAGAGGATACTTCTGATAGAAGTTCCAGGGACAGCTCAGAAGTGTCCTTAAGGATGCTGCAAATCATGTCTCCTCTTTTCAAGCAATTCTTCTTCCTATATAAGATAATTTCAACAGTTGCATGAAATGGCTAGGGAATGAATGGCAATCAAGCAATGGACACAGATTAATCTTATGTTGAATGGACGGTTGAGATAAGATATGTGTGCATTATCCTGACAGAGGACATTGAACAAGGAGTCTGGTAATGCTTTGGAGTAGGTTACTGATCCTTTTTTTGTAATGGGCTAGGTTACCATGACATGAGGGCACCAAATTGAAACCAGCAAAGAAGGCAATATTACTTCTAAGGAGTAAACAATTATTGTCCATAGAAGTGTTATAAAAGGAACCCCAAGGAGAAAGCTTAACCCTGGCAGAATATAGCTAAATGAAAATGCAGGCTACACTGAGTCTCCTTCACTAACTTGGAATAACAAGGGTATTACAGCCTACCTTGGGTATAATGTAGTTACAGGTAGGGATGGGGCATAGCTGGGGATAGGGTTATAAGTAGAGATGCAACGATATTGAATTTTGGCCAATATCTGATATACCGATAATTCCAATATTGGAAAGGAACCAATACCGATATCTATATCTGCATTTATATTCACACATTCTGGCAGATTTTTGAACAGAGAACTATCCAATAATGCTCCTTATTTCCAGGAAATATCATGTATTTTCCCTGGAATAAAGCTGCATTATCGGATAGCTCTCTGTTCAAAAATCCACCCTCAGGCTTTAACCCCTCCACTAGACCAGGTCTGATGGGGAAAGCTTGAGGTGCACCACTGGTGCACCTCATGCTTTTGCCATTTCTCCAATAGAGAGAAGAAATGTTTTTCTTTTCATGCTGAAACCAGGCTCTTCAATGTGGATTTTAAAATATTACCTTGGATTTGCATCAGGCATTTTCTTTCCTATGTTCCATTATAGAACTTGCAAGGAGGTGGAACAGCAATTACTTCTCTTCAGAAAAAATATCGATAAGATTATAAAGGGAGTCCTCGATTTGCATCGTTTCGATATAACATATACCCCATATACGTCACGTCGTTCCGATATAACGTCGTAAATCTAGGACTTCCTGTATATCATTTAGTCCATGGGAAATAGGTTTCATTATACGTCGCGTTTTCCCGGGAACGCACCCACGACGTAAATCCGGAACTGTATTTCGACCCGATTGAAGGAACTGGTGGAGGAAAATAGCGGTAAAGACAGTGAAATTATTGCACCTCCTTTTATGCTGTGCATCAGCGAGTGGTGCCGTTATGCGCTCATGTCAGCAATAGGTAACCAGCTAATCACTGACAGACGCAGACAGGCTGAAAAGGTCTAAAAGTGGTCTCTATCGTTTTCAGGAGACTCAATGATAAGTACCACAAGGTTTCCAAATAGGCCTATTTGAATTCGTATGTGATTTCATGTTACTTTCGCAATCTATAGAGTATAGACCAGGGGTGTCAAACATGCGTCTGCGGGCCGGATCCGGCCTCGCCGTCTGTTCTAGAAATTTCCGCTTGGATTAACTGTCGGCACAAATTTCGGTGAAAAATTATGGGTGCGGCCCGCAGGTACCTGCAATGTTAGGAATGCGGCCCACCAACAGATTTGAGTTTGACACCCCTGGTATAGACCATAATCAGCTCCGGCTTCGGCACCGGTCGATGGGTATGAGTTCAAAATGCGCCATCAGTCAAGCGGTCAAATGTGGTCATCGGCACAGTCCTAGCATGAATATAAAGATTACAATTTCTTGAAAATTGGTGGTTCCAAATGTAACCTGTGGGCACGAAAGAGTCGAAATCAGACTATAGTCTAGTGATTTTTGTACCTTAGTTTTGGAATCCATCTAAGCCTGGGTTCTTCGCGCTAACACAAGCGATGTCTATTTTCGTAGAAAGTACGGAGTAGGCTGTGGTAGTGGCATCAGGCCGAGGTAAGTAGATGACGCTTCCCATCTCTTTCTTGGGTGACTGGGTAATGAGCCTATGTCCCGTGACAGGGTGGCTTGGGCTCGAACCTAGCTAAGTCAAGTGTATATTTCCTAGTTCAAGCGCCAGCCTGCTTAGGAAGGGAGTAACCGAGCACGGAGCGCTCCCATCTCTAGATGTGGGACGTTGAGGAACCGCGACAGAGAAAATCGAATCCAGGGGGCATATCCCCAGATATATATGGCGGTTAAACCAAACGCGAAATGATTTTAGATCTCTATCGCAGTCGATTATGCCTACATCACGCGCTTGCAACAGGTCGCAAGTTGTCGCTGGGAGACACTGACTCTCAAATAGAGGGGAAGCGTCAGTGCCTTGCGGCCACTCCCAATCCAAAGGGGAAAAATGCTTATATTTTCAGCATCATAAAACTTTTTTTTTAATGAAAGCATCTCATTTAGGCATTTTCAATCTTCTGCAGTATTTTCACTTGAGTTGGACATTTTTTCACTTGACTTCGACACTCATGCATGAGGAACGTAAATGTGTGTTCGAGTCAAGTGAAATATTGTCTAACTCAAGTGAAAAACACTAATGAGAAAAAGGAGAGAATATTCATCATTCGCGTTTGGCATACTTCAGGTTTAATTTCAATATCGATTATCGGTAGGTCATATATCATTTTAGGCCAATATATCCGATTCGCGCAATATCGGCCGATACTGATAACCGATAAACTTCGTCGCATCTCTAATAATAAGTCTAGATGGGGTTTCACAACAGGGCTCATATTAGGGTGTAGTGCCTCTTGGGCCTGGTTACCAATGACTCTTGGCTGGGGCTTAGCAAGAACATCTGATGACTCAACTCTTCTTTTGTTTCAATATCATCTGACTTTTAATGGTCAATGGTCATATGGATGCTTCAAAAGTAACTAACAATAAAAATGATAAAAATTTTCTATAGTGAAAAATGAGCTGGGGTCAACATCTGTATGCAGGTAATGTGATCTTGATTTTATACTTGTATCAGCATATTTAAATGAGGGAATAAAAACATTGGGTAAGAAAAAAAATTCAATTCAAATTCAATATCTCTATATTTGCTATAAAGTATGAACAATCAGCTTAAATTGTACCATAGGCTCCCTGTTTTATGGTATTCCCCTTGTTATCATCAAATAAAGTTTCGGAATGGACAGTTACAAAGATGCAGAGGATGAAACCACATGTGACCACCAAGGCCCAAATGACCAAACCTTACTTAAGGAAGCTAAAGAGGCCTTTAAACTAAAGATCTCTTTTTGCACCATTGAAGTCCATGTATAATTAAAGGACCATTAACTAATGGAGGTTTCAGCATTCAGATTTTAATTTTAAAAAGAAGGAAGGTCAAAAAGGGAAGAAAGAAGAGAAATGTAGGCAAGTCAGCATACCCCTCTTTTGAAGAGAGAATGAGAAGTCCTGCAAGGGCTAAATGTGTTGCTGCTCGTGGAGCCCGGATGGACATGCACCCCTCCTTCATGCTTTTGAGTAAGGCAGCCAGAGATTCCAAGATGTCACTGAGGATCCCTGCCCAGTTGGGTAGCCCAGTGACATCTTTCAATTTCCCTTCATTTCCTTGACACAAGACTTGAAGGAGGAAGTTCTTCCAGGCTGTAAGGAGTGCCAGGTCTCCACTGGAGAGTTCCAATGTGCACTGCCTCAATATGGCCTGGGGATGATGTAAAGAATTATCATGCCAATGTTTATACAGTGTGATGAACTTCAAGTTTTGTGATATTTAACCACAATTTGCAATTTGTGAATTCTTCACCAATGAAACTGATTTACTTTGCTTCATACATATTTTGCTTATTTTTCACTTTGCAGAAGCATGGCAAAAACATAAATATGGAAAGTAAGACAGGACAAGAAAATCTTTGGGTAGCAATACACAGTACCCAGCATTCATACCTGTGACCACTTAAGGAGGTGTTCTTTGAGAAGAGCTTTGAGCTGGTCAGCCATTTGAGTGTTGAGAGCTTCATTTCGCAAGTACAACTCCATGCCAACAATAGTGAAGACAGAGGCAGCCATGAGGGAATGGGAGGCCCCATCTAGTCTGGGGTCTGATGCAAAAATTGCAGTGACATTGGGCCAGAAGTCTGAATCTTCTTGGAGGGTCTGAACAGGAACAATGCGACTGTGGGACCAGAATGCACTGAGAAGCTTCAGAGCTCCAAGAGCTAAGTTCTGTGAACATTCTCCTTCTCCCTGCTCATAAACAAAAAAAGAAAATTCTGTCAATGACAGTCCCTCTCAAGCATAGCAACCAATTCATATCCAATAACCAGATTGCTAGCTTTCTTAGAAGGTTTTAACTTTCAACTAAAACTGCAAAACTTGCAAAGAGATTAATCTGTTCCCAAAAATCATCCTTTGACAGATCCTATCTAGGGAGAGGGTGACTCTTGACCAATATCACAGACTTAGATCATAGATCATGGTTCACACTAGCTTGTTTAAATCTTGAGTCCTGGCACCTAGCTGCAGCTCAGTGAGAACATGTTCAGGTGGTTGTCAATGAGTCTCATAGACTTAGATTTTTTGCAAATATGAGTCCTTCCAAAAAAATGTGAGTCTGGGACTCACTATAGCAAGTTAATGTGAACCCTGTAGATGCATGCATGTATGAAATTTATACTTGAACACATAAAGCTCTGGAAATTGAGCAATTGTGCCATCTGAAAGGAATGGGGTACTTCAGCATAAAATCTTAAATTCAGTTTTAAATAACTAATTAAGTATTTACACTAATTTCTCAGTAATTTTTTGGCCTCAATAAAGGGCAAACACATGGAAAATAAACTTCCTCCCATAGCACACATTTACCCATTACCTACAAAACTCTGACAACTAGCACACTACATGTGCTCAGCTGACCCCCATATCTCTCGACAAATAAGCTTTTTTTTGGCAATAGAACAGGCTGCTGTAGAAGAGATTATGAATGAAGTGCATTATGAATTAAGTGCAACAGTGCATACATTGCAGTGTTGTACCTAGATGCAAGTATTATAAACATCTAAGACAAAGCTTTATCTTATAATTTTTATATGGTGGGAGCATTATATTCATGACTTCAGACTTACAGAAGAGAGTAAGGGCCAAATAGAGCTATAAATATTTACAGAAGCAGACAAGAAAATACATTAAAATTTTAAGGCTCCCAGCAACCCTAATTGCAACAAGCTCAAGCTCAAGTGATCAAAGTAGATAAGTGCACCTGTGCCAGCTGTGCAAGAATGCCTTTGAGCAGAGGATAGATGGAATCCTCAGAATCCACCTGCAGAAAGATTTGGAGAAGACCAGGTTGCAAGGCAACACAGGTAGTCAGGAACTCCAGACCACAGATGCGCAACTGGATGTCCTCCGACTGAGATGTGATACGCCTGAGGAACTGGTCCCTGATGATGGAGGCCTGGGCACCCAGGCAAGCCAGCAGAGACATAGGATAGGCCTGAAATTGACAACACACATGCAAAAGTATTCTGCATCAGAATCTGTTGACGGAAGACAAAAGTATAAACCAACTCTGGCTATGTGGGTAAGAGTCTCAAGGGCAAGAGTGGGGAGAACAGGATGGATTCGATGATAGAGATATCTGGCTATCCCAAGGGGCAAAGGAGGCAATTCCCCTGTCTCAGGTTGAAGGCAGAGCACTGCATCCAGGGGTATCTGATTTGCAGACAAGTCCACCCCTTCCACAACCTTATAGAAGAGTCATCCTCAAGTCAGAAATTTTGAAATTCTACCTGAGGCAACAATGAAAAAGAAAATATGACACACCAAGATCTTCTTGGTGAGCAAAAGCCGGATGGAGATAAGGGACGATAGGACTCGAAGAGCCATCTCAAGAAGTTGCATCAGATCTACCCCTTTCCCATGCTCCCAATCACTCTGCTCTTCAAATGCCCGTTCCAGGACTACATCATCTGGGATAGAGGTAAATATGCAACAAAACATTTAGGTGGGTGAAAAAAAAAATTGCCTGACAGTTGACCAATCACAGAATGATGCAATATGCCATACATTTAAACATTTACTTGAAAAAATGTATATTATGCAGATATATTGTTCATACTAGCAGCAGGCCTATAAAGCTTGGTTTAAGGTCCAAAACAAATCAAACCAGCTGTCTCTAGAAGTGCAGTTCAGAAGTCGAAAAACTGCCAATACAAGGTTTTATGAGTAAAAAGCTAAACTTGTCATTCCATCTGATTAGTTCGATTTTTATTTCATAATAAATTGCATGCTGTGTTGCATAAAAATTTGGATTCCATGCAAAAGCTGCAGAGCCCTCCACATTTGAACACTGGGTTTAATTGGGGATCAGTATCTGGATCACCTCATCTTTATATGAATGAAGTGATCTGAGAGACCCATGGGAAGTTCTCCCCTCCTGAATAAAATATTGAGGGAATAGGAGGCTGGGCACATTCTGTCATCATTCAATCAAAATCTATAGGCATTTGACTTATATATAGGTTTGGCTAAAGGCAAAAAGAGATATGGTTTCATTTTAGCAAGCTCCTTGCAATTGACCTCTGTCATCAGAGTGGATGAAGCAAAGCACCGCAGATAGAAAAATGTTGCTATAATTCTTGAACTAAGAATAGATTTTGTGATGGCACTCCCATAAATGAATCTCATTTCATATCTAAGGTAGTCTGGGGGGGGGGGAGTGAGAAACAGCTTCAAGTTAAAAGAGGCAAAATTAATTTCTTTCTACAAGAATGTCAAAATGAGCCTCACTAGTAGACAGTATGCGTAGGAGGGTGTGAGAAGCACGTCCCTGCAGGAGGGCCTGAAGGACAATGCGATGTGGAGGATGGATGGGAGTCCTTTGCTCCTCTACCCATTTCAACAGCTTCAGACAGAGGGACAGGCAAAGCATCCCCATCTTTCCCTGTTCCCTTGCTTCCTCAAAGTGCCATTCATGGAAGGATGGGAACACCTTTTCAAGAATGAATGCCACACCTCCATGGGTTGCTTCTTCCAAAATGGCACTTGGGTCCTAAAATATTAAGTGAGCTTTTCAAAAAAGCAAGTCCATTCATCACTATAAAAAGAAAACACATTGGTCTGAATGCACACCTCAAAATCACACACTCACTCAAACAAGCATTTCATTGAAATCATCATTATTGTTAAAATTCACAAGCAATGGAACAAAAATGGCAATTACATAATTACCCTTCTGTAACAAATGGCTGCATTTTTTTTCGTTTTTACAACTGGATGACCTTGAAGCAAAAATCAAGCTAGTGCAAGCAAACATGCTTGGAAGGGTTTAAATTAGAGGTATACTGATCAATAAATAGAACACTGGATACTGGCCAATTCAGGTGTTCTCTGAAAAACTGTTGAAACTGATCTTTGGGCTCTCCAGTTTTCTGCTCTCTAAAAATGAATTTCATTTTATTTTTGTATACTCAACATGCATAACAATTCTTCTGCTAACTTCAATTAAGTGGCATCCTGTAGCATTCTAGGGAACTCCTAAATGTAAATAGTGGCAGATGCCATCTGCATCTATTCTGGGGAATGGAACTGGAACTCAAAAAGGATGCAATCAGAAGTGAGGTGCTGTCAGGAGCACATACGAGAGGCTGCATTCCCTTTGAATCCTACAAGAAGTTGTTTGCTACTGACTTTCTTTAAATACATCATTAATATATTGAATAGGACTTGTTGCAATTAACTGTGTTGAGGCCTCCTGTTAAAAATTAAGCTTAGGCCTCTAGATGCAGCACTTGTTTGTGTAGTATGATGGACATAGTTGAATATAGGTTGGGCTTGGTCTTCAATACATGCCCATATGTTTTACCCTACCCTAGCTTTTCGTGTTCCTTTTCCTTTTTCTAATTATGGTCCAGTAGAATGCTGAAGTAGTACTCTTACATAGATTCACACAAATGTGATGTCCTCAAATCAAAAGTGATGAGTCTCACAATGGAACTCCTATTGTGAAAACAATTTCTTGTTTATGGCTAGTATTATTGTGGAGTATTTGTTGTGACTTTTGGTTATTTTGGAGAAGCACATGCCTAGTAGCATATAACATTGAAACAACATTGATCCAATGTTGATTCAGCATCTGGAAGCTGAACCAATGTTGATTCCATGTTAATTCAATGTTATATGCTACTAGGTATGATTCCAATCAACAAGTCATTGTAATGGTGTTTCTCTCTTTATCAGCAATGTGAGAACTAATGCACAAAATTAAAGTTAATGTCATATTGATAGCACTGTAGCTCAGCAAAAATGACAAAACCTCATATGGCCTCTGTCATACACAACCACAATACAAAATTGATTCCTTTCAGTCAACTATGAGCATAGACTCCTGTCCATTCTAAATATCAATTTATTTAACCCTTTCAATTGACAGGAAATTGCATTGATGCTCTCAAAACGTTTTGATATCCCTGCCAGCAAAATGAATTTGAATTAAATCTCATATATCCCTTGAGAACAAATCAGTCTATGTAACAGGCAAGTTTCATCAAAATATCCACAGAAAGAACAAAAACTTATTGGTTAAGAGTCTGGGGTAATATTTTGTTCCATGCCATGTGTAAATGGGACACCAAAACTGACCTGAACAGAGAAATCCATGAGAGTGAGAAATGCAATGAGGAGAGGGTAGCTTCCTTGCACACACTCTGTGCCAAAAACCACCCTCTCCAAAATGCCTTGCTGGAGGGGGGCGGAAGTGGGCAAAATGGGGAAGCCAAGTGCATGGGGTGAGCCCCTCATCCACACTAGACCTTGTCCCTTCACTTCCTCCACTGACAAAATATGGAGAATGTGTGCCAGAAGCTCCAAAGGAGGACTCGGGATGCAAAGCAGTCTAGGAAAACAAAATCCCTTACTTTAATCTAGGTCACAGAAGTCCATGGCAGATCAAACCTGCACAATGATTCATTATTTTTTACTGCAACTGATGAATACATTATTACAAGCAGGAGTAATTCCTCTGCAATTCAGCTGTAACTTAAAAATTTGAGTAGAACTAAAGCTGCTCCTCCTAAAATATCAGGAAAAAAAAATGCTAATGGCATAGTCTCAGCACCAGATGGACAATGCACATGATACCACATGACAAAAATTCCCTTAAAATTTTCTAATGGTACTGCATTGTAAACATCCACCAACTTTCTGAAATTGCTTTGCATATTATATCAAATCTTTCAACCTAGATACCAGTATTGAATTAATGCAGTGGTTACTTCACAGAGAAAAATGGTGTATCCTACTACTGCTATTCTACTACTTTGCATGTCTTCACAATAGACCTCAACAGCCAGAATAAAACCCACTTCTGGAAGAGAGTGAAGAAGATGTCAATGAAATGATCAAAGATGGGAAGTTTCCCTGGGTCTGCATCCAAAACAGTGTGTATGAAGCTGCAGATTGAGGTCACTCGATTCAAGGATTCCTTCTCAATGGTCTGATACCCATGGATCACCTGTAATCACACAGTCTTGAGTAATCATCAAAGATCAACCAAAACATTTTCAACTTCAACAATGAGCAACATGATATGCTCCTGGGTCTCATGCAACTGGAGCAAACAACTTAGCCATTTACAGGCCCCTTGATTTTTATCCAAGTCACACAGGTTAGACAGAGTAAAAGCGTACAAAAAACTAAATATTTCACCTTAAATTACTCATGGATTGGAGAATCAAGATGGTAAGTGAAAGAGCAAATACAAGACCTACCTGTTGGATGAGTGCCTGGATTTCACAGAGGAGGATCTGCCAGCCATTGACAGTTGCATGCCAGATGATGGGAGGATTAGCAAGGGAGGCACAATGTTCAGGGATATCTCCTTGTATTCCAGGAGGAAGAGACATGCCACGGCAACCAGGGTAAGGGGACAAGGCATCTCGGATCTCCCATTGTCGTCTCTCTCCGACAACAGGGATGATGGAGGCAGCCGGCACAGTCAAGAAAGACTGGGCCATACAGGGCAACTTCTGCATCAGGCTGATGACCTGAGGATGATCATACAACAGCCACTTCAGGACCTTTCCCACTCACTCATCTTAGAACATTTCTCCCCCATTTTCAGACATTTTAAATATGGCTATGCTAAAAATCAGCTGTGTTCAGATATGCTGACTGGATGTATTAGATTATTGTAAGCTAAAATCACTTTTATTTTGGTAATCAGTGAAATACCTTAATCGCCACAAAAGACAATTTCAAATATCTTGTTCCTTTTCCCATCAATTTTCCAGTTTTCTTTTTTCTTCCTCATTCCACAAATGAATAGCCATGAATTGCTGCTATCCACAATTCTTGGGGGCGGGCTCAGGTATTAGGGAGGCCAATTACAGGCATACCATGGTTCATGCTAAAACAAGGCACAATACTGCCTTTACAGGAGTCCTGTTCCTCTGCTCTAATTGGTATTATCTAGCAAGAGTGCCTATCATGTCTACTGTCCTCATTCTCTCCAGTATCAACTAGACTTGCTACTTCTAAAAATATATAAAAATAAAATCTGAACCAGCATCAGACAGTGAGAGATAAAATCCCAATACTCTAGACATGATGACAATATATTTTAAATGATTTCAAAGGTAAAAAAGACACATTGAAACATCAGCACTGAAAATGGCTTTGAGTAAGTTGACCAAGTATTGCAAATTGCACAAAAAGCCAGTTGACTCACACGGTGAGCAGATTGTGTGCCACTGGAGGCCAAAGCTTCCAGGGTTATGATGAGGGGCTGAAAGTGATAAGGGAACAAGGACATGAAGTTCTCAAAGCCTGCACCAAGACTCTCTCCCTCTGCCGTGCCAGCACTTTCATCCCGCAAAACCCTCCAGAAATCCTCTGCCAAGTTGGGTGAGGAGAGAAGTGCTGCAAACACTTGGGCCAATTCTAGTAGGCTTCCCAGGGAGTCCTCATGAAAGCAAGCTAGGAGCTCATTCACTAGTGCATATATCAAGGCCCGGGCTACTTTTCCCACTGCTGATGACTCCTATGAACAAATATCAAACCCACAGATTCCTTGCATGAAATAACTTACTAGTAATTCATGTCAGCATTCAATAGAAAACATAACAGCCCAGACTTTCTTGCAGCATTTGAACTGCTACAACCATTCACAACTATTTGAGCTACCCTGCCATTGACATTACATGTTGGTAGCCACTGAATGAATATCTTTCTCATTTGGATAGCAGTCATGTAAGAAAAGCAAATAAAGCCATGGCAAAAGCAAGCATATACTGTAAGTATGTAGGGCCAATAGATATGAAGGAAAAGGTCAAGAAAAGACCAAGAAGGTCAATTTAAAAATAAGTACATAATTGCAGTCAAAATTTCACCTTTCTGGATATTTAAATATTGTTTTACTCAGATAACTTCATGCTAACAAATTTACAAGGATATATTGCACTTATGATCAAGGGTAATTTCTAAATTACTTATTAATTCTCATTGATACTGCTACTTAATGAGGGATTGCTTCCTTTTAAAATAATTTGTTTTGCCAAGTACTTTGCTGAAAAGGACACACTAGTTCATTCATAAATCAGGCACCAAAGTGATTTACTTCTGACATTATTTATTACAAAAACATCATGCAGATATAAAAGACATGTTCATGAAAAATGTAATATTTTGTTGCTTCTCTTCTGGTTTTCATGACACGATATAGCATGCACGGTTTTCCAAAGACTGCCTAGAATTATAATCAGGTAATAGCTGCTTTATATTCTCCAGATATGACCCTTTTTATAAGTAAATAAAAAACATATGTATAGCATTATCACAATGAATTACATATGAAATTCAGATAATTTTGAGCTTCATTGTGCATTTGTTGCCATATTAAAAAAAGCTGTGTTTTGTCAAAAGTCAATATTTAGTGCTAAAAAGAACCCCTTTCCTATTTGCCTATATGTAGTGAAGAAAGAATCTGGGTACCAGCTTGAAACATACCCAGGTTCAATGCTGAATAAATGATGCTGTGAAAATGAATTATTTTACATTGAATTTCACTTCACCAGTCACCATTTCCCTGGTAACATCTAAACAAAGGATTTAGGTCCCTTCAGTACAGTTACCAACTGAATGGAGAAAGTCCATGGACAACCAAATACACTATAAGTACATTTTCTCTTAAAGCGCACCTCCCATAAATGAGTACAGGAACTGGTTCCACCAGATGGATCAAGTCACATCCACAGAAAAGAATGCCAGCTTTAGTTTTGTAACACTATTTGCATGGTATCACAAAAGCATATTTAGGTAGGCTTTTCAGTAAGCCTACCAGAAATAACTTCCACAACTACTGATAACTTTTTCCTGTGATCCAGAAATTGCATTGCTTCTCATTCAATTGCATTCTCTGGCCAATCAAAACTATATTGTTCTAGCAAAAGTTTCAAATAATCTTGTCAAAACAGAATTGGCAAGACAATACATTATATCATTGTCAAGAGCTGTCAGATGCATGACATTCTCTAAGCAGCATCATAGACATCTACTCCTCAAAGGAAACAAAAGGCTTTAGAAATAGAATAATTCCAAATAGAGCTACATGCCTTAAATGTGGAAGATGAGAGTGCAGAGTGGAGGTAGTCAAGAGGTCCAAGCTTTGCAATCTGAGCCATGGCACGAGAAGGCACCGTCCCGTGTGCCGAGAAGGAGACCAATACACAACCCAAGAGAGGAATGACATGACATGGGATCCCACCCAGGCTCTCCAGGCTTTTTCTGATCTTGTCCCACAACTGAACTTCTTGTGTCATTGGATGCCTGAATAAAAGAACAAACAAGAATACCGGAATTAGCTGGAAGGCAAGGTTGTTTGGCAGCTATCTGTGTATTTCTTAGAATGCAAGCTATAGTGACTGACATCATAGTTTCTCTGCCCAACTAATAAAATATGCTTCCATGGGAAGTGGAGAAGGAAAATATTTGTCCCTACTGACCCATACTGAAACATATTCAGCAAAAAAGATGCAGCTGTTAGTATGCAGAGAGGAAGAGGATAGGATAACATGGCATTCACTTAAAGCAGGTTTACTGCAATTACAAGTGTGCAATTTCATTGTATTATGAGTAGCCTACCTTAGATAGCTTTTAGTTGTTATTCAGGCAACAATCTTCAAAAATGAGCAAAGTGGCAAGGGCAATATCAACATAGTCCTTTAGCATCCCATTAACGCCAGGACAGCAATCAAGTCTATGTTACATCATTACTACAGTATGAGGTCTAGCTGAAGCCTTTACATGTAACAATGATATAATTTGTTTTCAACTGAAGAAGTAAGTCAAATACATATTGAACAAAAGTTCAATAACATGCAGACTAAATGCCTTACCCTTACCTTGCAATTACAAGCACTGAAAACTTCTTTAACAGAAATATAGTGGGAATTGAAGGTGTATAGCCACCTGGATCCTAATAATTTGGATATGCAAAATTAACTGACAAAAGGGCACACACTTCCTTCATGAGTTTACAGATATTGGAATCATGGTGAAATCAAGTTCATGCTTAGCCTCTTCCAAAACATTAAAGCAGGGTTTGAAGTTGGAAGCCATATAGTCCAGGATTACTTATAGTAACTTCAACTACAATCTATACCTAATAATACAACCTAAAGTGAAACATAAAATACCTAAGCTCTCATAACATCACACACAGATTGTTGCTCAAGTATAGAGAGAAAGAACATGACCAGTCAGCTGAAAATGTTATATAACCTTTTGCTGCATGATGTACGAAAACCTTTGAGAAAAAAATTCAAATTTAATATACAGTTCCAAGGAAGTACAAAAATAATATATTTTATATCAAACTGCCAAAATTCAGTCCTTTTATTGCAATATTAGATTTATGTGAAAATAGAATAAATTTGCACAAAGAGAAAAACCAAAAAAGGCTGAATTTGTGAAAGGTCAGACAAAGATGTGAGATGAGGATATGAGACAACATATGCATGACAATTTTTTAGCAATAAATATAATAATTAAAAATGAAGAAGTTTGCAACAAAATAGGGTGAAAGGTATTTTACTCACCTATGGTACTGACTCAGTATTTTCAATATGCTCCCAATGGATAACAAACATATGTTTAAAAAGTATTATGTTCTTCTGTATTGAGAACATCAAGGATGTTTTAGAAATTTCCAATTCACCACACATTGAGCCATTATATACAGTATATAAATTATTCTGGTTTGTTCCATATTGGGAACACAAAGCAGCAAAGCGTTACCCAAAAAATTCCTTGAGCTCCAACTCATGTAAACCTTTCTGACTTATCTTTATAACTGCCAAAAAATTACAATTTGCTATAGTTCTCAAAATTAGCTTGGATGATAGCTGATAGAAAAACTCCACATTAAAACAGGGCATTTGCATTATAGCTGGAATGGTCATGCCACCTAAAAACAGTTTAGCAAACTGTATCAAAAATTGTTTACTCAAGCCATGTGATTTGATAAGAGAACATTTATGAGAAATACTATGAAACCTTGAATATTTCCATTGCTAAGGCTGCTCCACAAGTGCATTGGTAAGAAGTAAGTGTAGTATAGTGGAAATGATATTACTCATAAAAACTTCTTTCGGAAATGACCCTCATATAAAGAGCCATGTGATGGCTCTTTATGGACATGGCCATAATGGACATGGTGAAAATTTTCAATTAGTACAAATTAGATAATAGACTCATTAACCACAACATATAAAATTGTATAATTCAGCTGGGACTCAATTTTCAAGATGGGAAAAAAAAATTGATTGGAACCACTATGATCAATGATAATCACAGGTTCCTCACCGTTGAAATTTCCCATCTGAATCACGTAGATGCTCAAGTTGCAAAAGCTGGAGGAGGATGAGAGCTTCAAGGAACCCAATGGCATCAGACAGAGGTCTCCACATGTCCAGCCGTAGTCCCCATGAGGGGTCACCCCGAGCTCCAAAACTATGATGCTGCAAAGGTTTGTTTTCCAAGTGCAAATGTGATCCAAATGAATACTGAATACTGAGTACATTCAACAGGTTAAAGGCCTACCCTATACAAAATTCATCTCACAAAAACTAGGCATACTGATATGCTCCTACTCAGAAAAATTGTTAGAACCATAATTACTCTACCTCCTTCAAAAAATAAATTTAAAGAAAACTTCCAAATAAATGTTTAGCTGAATTTATGCAGTAACATGTAAAGTAAGAAGATAGCAAGTTCTGAGTTTTCTCCAAGAGTAGTGATATCTACCATCTCCTTTTTTTTCTCCATAAACCTCTTAATATTGAGGACAAATTTAAATAATTATATTCATTTAGTTGCTGTTAAACAAATAATCATGGGTGTTATGGCCAGGCCTGGGGGGGGGGGGGACTTTGAATCATAAGGTACAGCAATGAGAAAATAGAGTACTGTGATGCATGGATACATATATTAATAAATATGCACAAATCTAATTATGGCATGACAGTTTGTGGTAATTGGGAGAGCCACAGACCTAGGGTAAGAGTAGATAGGATTTACAAGACATTCTGCAAAGAATGAAGGGGTGACTTTTAACCTGGAAGATCTTGAGAAGACGAAGGAGGTGCTTCTGTGTTCCTCCATGTCGGTACTCTGGTCGAACAAACATGAGCAGCAGAATCTGCAGTGACTCTGAAATTAGTCTCAAGTTGAACCAAGGCCAAAGGGTCTGGTCAGTTTTCTGCTTTTGGGGAGGAACTTCTTTGATGAGAGCTTCCAGCTGTTCTATCATCGTTTCCAAAAATGTTGCGCATGAGAAACATTCCTTCTTCACTTCTTTGTAAAGGCTCTGAAATAAAAAAGTGATGTTCAAGGTAGTTCAGCAGCAATCCCTTGATCAAACTCAAGGTGACTCAATAGCAAAACATTCAAGAACTCTTTTAACCTGGTATGGATGGGATTCATCAGTGCTGTGGGCAAGAACATGCTTGATGATGAGTAACAACGTGAGTCGTTCATGATAGTAGTAGCTGAGTAAGCAATAAAGAAGGTTTTGTGTGTGTTGTTCTGATGCCAACACATGTTGCAGGGTGTCTGTGGATCCACGATACCCATTCACCAGGAAGTCACAAAATAACTGCCAACATTGGTGCTCCTCCAAGTTCTGAAAAAAAATTCCAAGATAAAGGCTCACTAAGGTCAAGCACAAGCATAACTGTTGTGATATAAAGATTGGAATAGGCATTGAGATTAATGGCACCGACAAGGTTTGAAAAATTCATGAATAGCTTTTGATAGGTGTCAGCTAGCATTTCAGCAGTCAGATCTGGCAACAAAATATGTACAATCATGAGTTGGACAATCAATCACTAAAGGCTTTCACCCTACTTCTCTTGTCTTGAGGATTATCTTGATAACTGGTAACAATCACTTACTCTCCTCCCTGTCTAACTATACGCCCACTGTCGCTATTCATGACTATTCATGCAGACAAATATTATAAAAAATGATTTTGTAGAATTTTGTAAAAATTAAAAGAATTTTTAGGTACCAATCAGGCATCATGTGATGTAATGGGGTTATATTATATACCTTATAAACTAGTGTAATGGCAAGGCCTCACTTTCTTCCATTAGGCCATGACTTCTTCAATTCTTCAATTAGGCCATGCCAAATTTTACCTCAGGAACAATTTAAACACTAAAAAAGGGAAGAAAAAAAAATAGAAACATAAGAGGTACACTAATAAGTTATTTTTTTAAGCATCATTCTTCCTCAGGCATGTCAATGCCAGGTACTCAGGTTACAAGTTTTGTCCTTTGCACCCTTCCATAGAGATAAAATAAAGCCCAAGCAGCTACTTCAGAAAACTACTATCTGATGGACATTCTTAACCATGGGGATCCTTAATTCAACATCTAAATATGGAATAAATTTCGTCCAATAGTCTCTGTCCAAAACAGTACTGGGTAACTTAAATTTCATGTTAAACTTTGCCCAATTGTAGTGATAGGGATGACATGGAGAGGCACAACTGAATGTCCTGGGTTTGGTGGTGCAGTGGCAGCACGCCTGAGGCTTGGATTCGATTCCCGGCGTTTCTTCGCGTTCTTTCGTCTTCTCATACCATGCAACTCTTTCTACTAATGGCCACAGTCGTTTCACTATACTTATTTGGTCAAGACTCACAAGGAAGGCACTGCATTTCTTCAGAAACTCGGCTTGTCTTGTACCGATCTTCTCCCTCTTCTTCAGCGTCTCAACGGATTCTCCTTTGGAAGGCAGGTAGAAAGTAACACCCTTCGAAAGTCGTTCTTGATCATCTTTGAGGATCTTCTTCACGACGTCCTGGCTTTGGAGAGTGCCGATGCCAGCAACGACGGCCCACATTTTCGTCTCTCCTTCGCTCACCTAGGCCTTCTACTCCGTCTCCTTCTTCGGATCCAGCTGACAGAATGGGCTGTCGCTTTTGCCAGGTCTTATCTTTGCGAGCACGTGAGAGTTCCGGTAATTCTAGGCGCGCTCTATGTGAGGCGCCATGCTTTAGAGGTCTCTTCGGGTTCGGCACCTCGGTCCTTTCGAACCGACTCCAACCTCTCTCCACACCCATCAGATACCGAATGCGCAAACACTGTGTAACTCACGTATGTGCAGACAACCGAACGGCCTGATCCACGTTTCTGACTGGCACACATGTACAATCACGGTGTCAGGCCCCGTCGATTTGTTTCCACTTGGAAACGTGGAAAATTCCGCAACCAGTAAATTCTCGAATGATGAAATGCTTCGATGATGGTACAATGGGATGGCGATGCGAGTTAAACTCAATAGACAAATTCGAATTACATATTTTATCATGGGTCTTTCTCCCATCAAAATTTCAAATCTTGCAAATCATGCAACTACCCAGATAACATTTTCCGTGGGGTCAACGTTGGCCCAACGTGGTCCTCCAACGTCAGGATACGTTGGCCCAACGTAGGTTATTCACGTAGGGCCCCACGTAAAAGTGACCGTTGGTCAAATGTGGGGCCAAAGCTGGCAGGAAGTTGAAGCGCAACATTTAACCCACTTACCCAAGCAGCTGGTTTTTGCTCTATGTTGACCATCATCATTTCGTACCATATACTGAAGTTCATCAAGTGGAGATATTCCCATCTGTAGTACGGAACCTGTACTACGTACTACAACCTACCATTGACATGTATACATGCCCTAGATAGGCAGGAGACATGAGACAAAGGGGGCGATCCAATTTTGGGTCGCGACCCAAGGGCTAAGAACCACCGATATATGATATTCTTTGCGCGCAGACGCATTCGCATTTCACCGAGTTCAACCAACCTTAGGAAACCGTCATTCTTGACTCATATATTTCCGCATTTTTTTAATGTAAAAACCAGGAGCGAGATTTTTGAAATGATGTGTTACTCAAAAGATTATACCTGAAATTGATACGTAAAGTCATCTGTGTCAGCAAAAAGGTCAAATCAACAAAAATATGTAAATGGATATGAACCATTCGCAAGAATGGTATGGAATGAGCTATCGACGGGGAAAATCAACTGAGAAACCAGGAAGGAGTAGTCATGCTCAACATGGTTTCTATATATTATGCTCAACATGGTTTCCAAATCTCTTTCTTCTTGTATTTTCTCCAAGTACGTCTTGTTTCTCCGTGCCACGCTGCGGGGAGCGGGACCAAGACGAAGGGAATCAGATGAGGGTAGAGGGTGCTTGTTTTTGTTTCGAAATGAAACACCGCATTGCGTAATTACGCTGTCGTGCATTTTCTGGACAGATCGATACCGAATGGCCACCAAAACAGCGTTTAATATGAGGGACAGCTTGACGGTGTGCACATTAATTGTCCAGGCTCGTGCATTAGAAACGATACAGTAATTTCAAATTGAGAAACGAAATTCCCAACTTGTTTCCAGGGTAGATAGACAAATTTTGTGCGCGGATAAAGAGAAAATAAAGCACTTTTCAATTGGTGGCGCTGCCGATTCCTTCGAGTGAGCATCTGAAGGAGGAAACCCAAAGAGAACAGAAAATATGAGGAAAATCCTGTTGTACATTATTATTATTCTGTTATAAACAGAACGGCTGGATTTTCCCCAATTGGATTGAAAGAAATGCTCATGAGGAACTGATTCACGAAATTGAAATAATTTTTTGTTCTTTCCCGCTTTTTTTTTCTCAGACCCTTTTTTAAATCGCAGAATTCAATAACATCAGTCGTGTTTCTTTGCTAGATCGCAAATGTGCCCTTTAAATGGATTCCTTCTTCCCAATTTCAAAGTAATATCTGAAATCGTGCGAAGCATTCCTATTGTCAATAATTCCGCAAAACTCTGCGCTCATATTTTTATGCCGGACCTTCACGCCTGTGGAATTCCTGATGACCTGAAGAAGTTCCACAATGAACAATTTTCATCCTTTACCTTGAGCACACAATCAACAGTGTCAACCACGAAACATTCTTCGTTTTTCTTCCGGAAAAAGCTGCTCAGGACATTTGCTTCCTCGTGTAGAAGGCGGCCATGGTCCTGACGACAGACTCGTGTCCGAAGACGAAAGCTTCCCAACCGTCTTCAGAACGAATCATCTTGACTCCCAATTCCTGCAACTCGGCCAGTTCGTCTTTGAAGGGATCGTGTTGAGGAGAGTCTCTCAAGTTCTCCATCTTCACTGCGACGTCCTTGGCCGCCATCAGGGCCTGCAGTTTCTCTGGATCGTTGGATGCCGTCGGAATGAGGGTGTTCTCGATGTATCCGACCAGACTGGTCGTGTCCGCCTTAAGTGCCAGTTTCTCTAGTCGCACCAAGCTGGTGTGAGCCTTATGAATGAGGGACTGGACTGCCAGCTGTCTCCTCTGGAATTGGCATGCCAGATTCTGCAAGCGTTCCTCGGCTTTCTTCAGGTTCCCCATATTTTTCTCCTCCTGGAATTGCACCTTAAGTTCCAATAGCTTCTCCAGACCTATAATTTAAAAAAATTAACATTTTCGATTGAAGAAACCGATATGCTGCATGATAAAATAATATCTCAATGCTTTTGCCATCTCGAGGCAAAATAGCAAACGACTCCGTATACGATTTCAGTGAGCATATTATTGCATGTAATGGTGCATCTTCAGAGAACGCGTGGTCTCTTCTTACCGTCTTGAATTTCTTCTTGCAATCGTTCCATGGTGCCCTCGACGACTAATCTCTCGTCCAGTACTTTCCTAGTGATGTCCAAGGATGCGGCTTCAGAGGTCTCCAGGTGGTCGAAGAACAGCTTAAAATTCCGAAAGCTAGTTTTCCACTGAAGCATCTTCGCTTGATTATAGACTTGTGGATCGCTGAAGAAGGGCGAGTTGTTGACCAGGAAAGTGTTGTAACAATTGATCCCCGCCTCCTTCAGGGTTTCCAGCGCTGGGGGATCCGACTCGTCTGCAAACGTTACCATGGCAACGAACCTGTCCTCGACGTCCTTCCCGAAGACCCTCAAGACCGAGTCGAAGACGTACTTCTGCTCTCCGGTCAGTCTAACGACGTTCACAGGAAGGGTGAATCCCACCGCGTGGAGTCGAATGATGTCCCATTGTTGTCCTTCTTGGTAGAATTTCTGGAGTTTTCCTACGAGCTGATTGTCCGCGTCTGGGCCACTCGTGTCAGCGAGCCCTGGGGTGTCGATGATGGTCAAAGTGTATGGGAATCTGGATCCGTGCTGGGCGTGGATCATGTAAGCCGATACCTCTTTCGTGCAGCTCTCGAATTTTTTCTTAACTTTTTCGTTGATGAGCTTGAATCGGAATTCGTCCTCCCATTCCACCCCGAGGACGTAGTTCACCAGAGAGTTGATCAAGCTGGTCTTACCTGGAAAGGAAATGAAATGCAACGTTTCACTCCTTGCGTCTATGAAACGCCGTAAAACTATCTTTGCATTCTCGTGTTCCACCTTTTCCCACCATCTCCCTACATGAAATACCCAGCATGCAATATCTCATACGGTTAGTTCCCCGACGTTCCGTTTCCTGCCTGGATAATTCTCAAACTGGTCAGTTCCCCAGGTGGTCGAAGCCAGTACTGTGATAAATGTCTCTCTCCCTACTCCCTTTCAGTCTCTTTCTCTTCTCGCACTTTGTCGATTTTGTCCTCTGACGTAATAAATTGGTCAAGGGCTCAGGAACACCCCTACGGATGCTAAGGGTAAGGTAAGACTGAAAAATAAAATTACGAGATCGGTGATTGCACGAGAGCAGGGGTTTAAACTGGGATCATTTTCTTCCTTTTCGCTCTTCACAACCTCATACGTATTCTCACTTTTATCCTCCAATGACTGATCAATGTTATGCTTTCTAGGCCACCATACATTTTTAGATCTCTCGCGATATAGACCTTGATTGACACATTATCAACTGCCTTATCCGATGAACCGTAGGATTATTCTGCAGCCATTTCTCATTGCTCCTTTTTATTTGCGAGAGCCTCTATCAATGCTCTGATCTTGGCAATTTATCAACGATGTTCCATGCTGCATGGCGTGGGAGATGGGGAGTTGGAAAAAATCAATACATAAAACTCTTATAGAGAATCGTCCAGCTAATTTTGTCTATGTTGCCACCTGATGTTGTACCATCATCAGGGAATGTGACAGGCGGGAAATCGACAATCGGGAACTGGCTGGACACCACACCCACTTTCATCCAGACACGAACACACATAGTTATCAGAGTTGCCGAATGTGATCAACTCGGTTTCTAAATCAACTCACCCGCCCCAGTGACTCCGACGAACATGACGATTTTCCCAATGCAGGTCACCGGCACGTCGGGCTTCAGGACGTGGTAGATGCCATAGGAATCTTCTTTCAAGCACACCGCCTCTTTCCTCAGTTCGTACAAGTCGTATCCGTTGATTTTCCCCAGTGGAATGGATGCGCCTCGAATTTTCTCTGCCAACCTTTCCTTCGTCACCATCTAGGAAAAGGTCGATGCTTTCCCACTTCCTGCATGCGGAAGACCAAGTTCGTTGGGTTCTCACCTTTGGTATTGGGGGGAGGTAGATGTCCTCGCTGGCTTCTGTCTTCTTATCAGCTCCTTCATCGATTGCTTTCTTCTTCCTATTTGAGATGCAATCGCATACTAAGTCATTTCTCTCCAAAGAAATATCAAGTACTAAGTGTATTTACCTATGGGAACCTATATCCCCGGCAGCACAATACATTGGGCCCACGCTGGCTGCGAGTTTGAAAAAGTAGGCCAACATTGCAGTGCCCGTGTTGGCCCAACATTGGCGCTAGAGCGGCAACCAACATTTGTCATGACTCAGGATGCGACATCTATCTCAGTTATTCGAGCAAAAAGCTTTCCACTGCATATGCAAGATGGCGACTTTGCGGCAGCCGTTTCAGTGGGATCAGGGAGTCATTCATTAATTTAAGACCACACTACCTTTCTTGCGGTACTTGATCCATTTCCATAGAGAATGTAAATGAAGACACTCGAATTTCTCTGTTCATTTGTTTCAACAGGTTAAGCAGTCCGAACAGACTCTTGTTAATCGTAGAGGAAACATGATTCAAATTGGGGCTTCACTCGATATAGGAAAGATAAAACAAAACATTTTCTTGGATTCAGGGGCTTGTGTTTATTTTTCCTTGGGGTGTTTCGGGCGTGGTTAAAGATACGATCATCTGAGTCTTGCCGGACAAGCACTCCCATAGTGGATGAAGGGCCTATTGCGGGTCAAATTCTGTTATGGAAAATGAAGGCCTCAAAACATGACAATCGAAGGAAGTACTCCCTGGAGTACTTCTAGCCAGACCGAGAGAGACTCGGAGGCAAGGTCCCCGGCAGGGGAGCTGAACAATTACGTACGAAAATTCAATCTCATTCGAGACCTCCTTCGATCCCCGTAATGTCATGGCGCACGTCGGCATTTGACGTTGGTCCAACGTGGGGCCGCGGGACAAGCCTTCGAGGGACCAACATGGGGGACCAACGTTAGGCCCGCATCGCAAATGTGGAATTCCAACATAGGCCGAACGTTGGCTCAACGTAGGTGTGCTGCCGGGGTATTTTCTCAGCCGCAAATTTTTGAACAAGAATCGCACTTTCAGGAGCAAGGATATCAAGATATGTGTATCCAAATAACGTCACATCAGCAGCGTCCCAATTAAGGTAGATTGTTCTTTCGCGTACCGATTTTTCCCGATGTTGTTGTCCTATTCCTGAGGTTTCGCTGAGCTACGATGCTTAGTTTTCATGTTGAACTGAAGAGCTCATCGAGCAACTCTAGACTCATGTACTGTACATGTAAATGCATGAAAGTCACTCCGAAAGTTTGCAGATTAATTTTTATACCTACAAATGAAGTTGAATGAATACACTCATTTCCTGAATGCACTTCTTATTGGTTGCTGGTGCAACTTTCGTCCTGCTCTGTAGACTTTCTGGGATAATGAAGCACTTTGAGCGACAGCAGGTAGTGAAATATCGTGAACAGCCATTGTCCTTATATCATAAGCATATCGTGGTTGGAAAAAGAGGGGGGGGGGACATATCCCCCTTGGCCACCACGACACCTCGCGGCCGAGCTGACCCATCATTGCCTCCGTATCTACTGGAAGAAAGCTTATACTGTTAAACCGATTATACTGTTGTTGCCTTAACGCAAGCAATGGTTTTGGGGAGCAGCCCCTTCATGTGCAAAGGTGTTCAACTGGCTTCCACCTGTCTATCATCTAACAATGCCTAAATGAAACTCGCTTGGGGTACAGAGGGATTAAGGCAGGCATGTTGCCCGACAACCAATAACTATTTTAAGTTAACATACATGTCATTTTAGTTGGGAACAATTTGAAACATTTCCCTCCAGTAATTAAAGCAAGCTGACAAAATTTAATCATGCTTTTAAGCTACGAGATCAAATTTTCATCTGTACCCTACTATGTTTCGGGCAAACTCATCACATTAGAATTTGACTCGCTCTGAAGGCAAACCTGTACAGTCCGGTTTTTGATGTGTTGAACCTTTCCAGCGAATAAAAGCTTTTAACGTGTACCAGTGGCAGGGGGGGAAGGGGGGGGGGGGGGGGGTTAGAACCCCCCCCCCCCCTTCCCAGTGACACTGACAGGCATATTTCAACCTTCCTTGGGAATTCCCATTTTAGCTATCCTCCTACGAGGAAACTCCGATGTCCGTCCACTGACCCTATATACCAGATCATCATTTCTTCAAAAAGGTAAATTCGGATATTGGAGCTAGACGTAGGGTTAGGGTGTCTACCTGGCCCCAACCCCCCCTCCCCTTGACGATTTCCTGCCTACGCCACTGACGTGCACTCTAAATGTTTCCTTTTTTTTTTTAAAGAATAATACTAATCAACTCGAAAATTTCACATGCCTTGGAATAGTCCTACAATGCCATGCACGGAGCGGAAAAGTTAAATTTTCAACCTGTAAGTAAGGTAATGATTCGCGTACAAGCAGAATGATTCAAATGCGATCTCATACCAACGAGCAAGAATGATTTTCTTAATAGCGTGAATGAATCCCTTCGGCTGCCGGAGGAACTGGACCTCGCACTCGTCGTCATCGAAGGAGAGTTGCAGGCCGATCTGTTTGAGATCTTCGAGGTGCTGATCGAAAGGATCCCAATCTGCCTGATCACTGACGACAGACAACCACTTCGCAGCTTCGCGCGAGGCTTCCAGGATTTCCATTTTCTTCCTGTCGCCTTCATCTTGAGCCTGTCGGATGAGGAGGTCGATGTACTCGACCACGGTGAAGGCCGCCGGTTTCAGGGCGATTTCCTGCAGCTCGCAGAAGCTGGCGTGGGCCTGGTGGATCAGTTGGTGCACTTCCAGTTGGGTGGATCTAAACTGTCGCCCGACACTCATCAGCTTCTCCCTCGTCGCCTCTCGTCTCCGAGTCCTCCTCCTCACAGTTCCGTAAAATTCTTGCAGTATCTCGAGTCGGTTGAGACCTGGAGAGTTTAGTTATTGTTATGTAACTGCCCATAGTCTCACTCGAGATGGCTAAGGTCTGAGAAAAGTAGTAGATCCATATTCATAGATTAGACCTTATATTCCAATTAGACCGGCCACTTCAATATTTTGATTGATTCTTGCTTGCGAACATCTTGGGTTACATGGTGCAAAAGCGAAAATCCGCTTCTGAGATCGAACCGTTGTCAAGTTCTTGGACGAGTACCTTCCATCAGGAAAGTAATCGCCTTCCATTACCTCACATCTTCCGAGTGTTTTTGACATGGTTTGAGGAGCTTCTCTTATCGGCTCAAGAGCGCAAGTAAATGAACTCCCCTTCATTTTTCGTCGGAGAGTTTTCTACCCTGCACTCTATACTATTTCAATTTATTTGCAGTAGATAAGAGTCAAGAAGAGCTAATGGAGCAGAACCGAGAAAGAGGCATTCCGTACTTCAGTCCCGCTTCTATTTACTAAGACTTGTCTATGATATACAAATGCAGGAACGCCTCTGTCGTATACACATAGGGCATGCGATAACAGAACATAATCAGCCTAGAACTAAAGGAATTTTGTCCTGCTCAAAACTGAGCTCCATCTACCTTCTTTGCATGAGTACGGAAAACTGGTGTTGCCTAATTTTGTATTATTATAGAGATCGTACTGAATCTTGGCGTCATACGGAGTTCATGAAATCAAATTGTGAAAAAAGAAAGTGAGACAAACCTTGTTGCACTTTCTCCTGCAGTTCTTGGACTTTACCCTCGATGGCCTCTCTGTGCTTGAGGACTTGCTGTATCTGGTTGGTGCTCACCGGCATGGCATCCTCCAACATTTTAAAATAATCCCCCATACTCGCCATCATGTGTTTCCAGACGATCTCGCTTTGTTGGCTTTTGTCGAACAGACAGTTGTTGTTGACGGTGTAGGTCCCGTAATAAGGGATACCGGCCTCTTTCACCACTTCGAGGGCCGGAATAGTTTGACTTGAAACGGCGAAAGTGATCAAAAGATGGATATTGCAAATCACATCCTTGCCAAAAATTTTCTGAAATTGTTGGAAGACGTGGGCATAACCAGGGGTCAACCGAGACGTTGTGGCGGGTATGACCAGCCCGACAGAATGGAGCCGGTCGATGCCCTCTTTATTTTTTAAGAAGGCCTGGAGCATGGAGAATGTGACGTCATCCAGTCTCTCGGTGTCTCCGAATCCCGGCATGTCCACGATGGTCAAGGGATATTTAAACCGGGACTTCTTGCGCGGATAGATGACGTAGGCGGAGACTTCTCGGGTCTGGCTCTTAAATTCCTTTTCTTCGGTCGTCACCATCTGGAACCTGCGGCTGTCTGTCCAATCCACGCCAAACACGTAGTTGAGCATTGTGCTCATCAAGGTCGTTTTTCCTGAAATGTCAGAGTGGTATTTTTTTACGAAGGACCTAGGACCCAAGCATGTGATTGTTGGCGCCGATCGAAAATGCTTGAGAGGAGCAATTGAATTGACGACGGCATTGTCAGGTTCAAAATGGACTGGGGCTAACTGTCTGCAGCGGAGAATATGAACAGAAGATAATGAAGGGGTTTAGAACAGGAGGCATTTCCAGGTTTGAACTAGCGTTAAACCCCGAATTTGCCCGGATTTTTAAAGAATAAAATTAGAACAAAATATTAGAATAATTTCCTTTTGTTATTCGATGTTTGTCTCACGTTAGAGTAAGGACAAAATAATTAGAAGGTGTAATCCAAATTTGCTGAACACGAAATGGTCATGACGCTCAACCGAGACGCCCAGGAATTGAATACTTTTTACAAGGAAATCTGTTGATTTTCCAAAGTGAGTTGCGATTTGTCAAAATTTTCACTGACTACCTCATTGAAAAACATGAAAACTTCATGGTTTCATCATTTGGGAAAGGGACATTCATAAGGACATCTTATTCCAAACTGGAATACCTAGGTAACCTAACCAGTCCAGGTAAGTTCTGAGGTACCTACATGGGCTGGTTAGCTATTGAGTTAAAAAAAAGAACGATATTTCGACCTTTTATAATCCTTAGGAATATAATTGGCATAATTAGCTCAAGTACGACTATGCATTTAATTTCATCATTTTTTCCAGTGGGGACGGCAATGCATTGATCTTACCCGCCCCGGTGGCCCCGGCAAGAAGGATGACCTTGCCATAACTGGGAATGGGAAGGGTTCGCCGTCCCACAGTGTAAGTAAACAACTTATTCTCTCGATCCATCATCGTCATCCGCTTCTTCGGTTCGTAGATCTTCAGCTCCTCTTCCGTCACCTTGATCAAAGTAGCATCCTCGAAGACATCTGAATCCTCCTCGGTTCTGCTTCGTCGAGAGAAAACATGGTTCTTTCAACTTTCCGAGGGTATCGACCCAACCGTTCGCAGGAGTACTGAGAAACGGCGCCAATTTTACCACGTACTCACTTCGGCTCCGTTTCGAGAGGGGAATCGCAGTTGCGGTCATCCTCGTCTTCTATCCTTAACGGCTTTGCAAACGAGAGAGGTTTGAGATTCGACTCCTGCTGCGGTTCAGAATCCGGCTTTTCCTGCCTTTCCGAGTCAGAGGATTTGGGATTCCTTGGGGACCTTGACCTCGACCTCAGGCCGAAAAACTTCATCGATTTTTTCATTGCTGATGGCTGTGTCGGAGGTCCAGAGGGGCCTGATGGGCACTGGAAATAAATCATATCCAGTCCAGGAATTGAAAACATCACCCTAAGGAATTAAATGTTTTTGCCACATCACATTTTAGTAAGATCTGCTGGTGGAACGGCAGTTTTGCATCTCTCTCAATTGCGGGCCAGTCCACGTTACAGACAGTTGGCATCCATGCTCCAGCAATTTCCTCTCTACATTTCGACTAAAATCAATATAGGAATCTAGCCTACAGTGTTCAGACAAGCCGAAAGGTATATGGTTCCTGGAGTGGAAACGTCTATGTCCTAGGCGTCAGAAGCAGCTCGACGAGGATTCTCGTGAATCGTTGCCACTGACTCCAACTATAGTTGGAGTCGGAGTCATAACGGACGCCATCGGACTAATAGCATTTAAATGCCATAAATACCTCGTATAACGTTGAATGACGGCTGTGAAATGTGGTAAATGGGTTCCAAGCATTATATAAATGGGACTCGGCAAGTCATACGAATTGATTAGACGTTCAGGATCGCAGATTCGCCGAATTATATCCAAGCATATACTCATGATAGGCAATCACATGTAAGCTGAATTTCTCCGCTGTCAGAATTTCAGTAAGAACAAGTGTGACATAAATTCAACATGCATCGCAAATTCAGGCATCGATAATCATTAATTAAAACGAGCTTCAGTGAGAGAAAGAAGTGAGCAAGTGCACAGGACTAACTTGTTGCAAGTTGAAAGGATATACGAGCTTAAAGTACCCAGCTCAACCCCACGGGGTTTTCAATTTCGGGACTCACGTGAAATCAACTGCGAAGGAAAATCGAAAGTTCCTGGGGGAGGGCTTGACGACGTTCATGCGACCTTAGTCACAGAACTTAACCAGGAACGCTTTCCCTATTCCGAAGCGAAGCGGGAACGGGATTCTTTTCAACAAGCCAGTGCCTGCACGAGAGCCAGAACGAGAACTGAGCCTGACGGTACAAGCGTAGGCAGTCTCGTCGCTTGTGCACTATCACCTATCAAGAGGATGCGGCAGTACCTATTCCTCCTCCTTCTATAGGTCTGGGTCCATGCATTCATGGGGATTCGCAATGGGGAAATGGGATTCTCACTGGGGTTGCCTTGAGAGGCAGACGTACCTTATGGGCTCTTCCTGTTGTACAGTATATGTTAGCTGCGTCCGTCTACCCTGCCTGTCAGTCGTCAGACTATCCGGTTACTGTATCAGCTGAGGTTTCTGTGACCTATACTTGCAAGGGAACTTGGAGAATTACGACGCAGTAAGATCACTTTCCCTATCCTTAAAAAAATCCTAATTTTTAAATTTTCAATATACACCGCATGGTCCTGCGGGCTCAATACCGAAGCGCCCTGGGAAAGCAAAAGCCAGGTGCCCGTTAACCCACAAACGATGCTTTCTTCTCGACTCGAATATGTATAAGAACTTGGACGAAGTCCTGCGTGATATCGCCGCAGAATTTCGCCGTGATTTGAGCCCTAATTGGCAAATTGATGCTGGTGAACTCGAAGACAAGGGACCAGACGCATGCCATTTGTCTTCCAGTAGTCTCCTAAGCAATAGCTTCAAGACAGCTGGATTGTGTAATTCCTCCGAAGTTGCAGCTGTGTATTCTCTCGACTCCTCAACGAAAGAACTCCGTCGGTTCAAGTTGTCAGTAGATGCGTGTAGATTCTCAAACAAGGATCTGCGTTCTAGTTTTGAGTCTCTCGAAACAGAGATGGCCTTGCCAGAGCTGACACGATTTCCCTACAATGCTCTCGAGACGCTCAGGAAGCCTCTCTGAACCGATTTCTTGCTAATTGCCAAAACATGCGAGAATCCTTGATTCATCCCCCTTTCTTCAAGACTTTTGAGGTGCTGGGCTCAAGGCTCTTACGCTGTGCCCTCCTCCCCCAACTGAAATCCTTCAAGGAGTAAGATATGTGAAGGACTGAATATCGAATCAAAATTCTTTCAACATTCTTTCAGTCGAAGCTAACATCAGATGCTTCATGAACCTAGACATAATCGCCTATGTCCAAATCCTAAGACCAATTCCTAGGGCTTGGGAACTAACGTTGCCTGTGGCGGCAGACTCCAGACATCTTATTTCATGCTCAGACCTGCGGGCTGATAAGATTTACACCAAAGCTACGCTCAACTGGACTGTTATAAGCGTTGCTTTTGAATTGTTCCTATTGTAATTCTTTTACCATGAGTATCACCCTACGTGGATGGTCTGAGGAGCTGGGGTCAGTTAGAGATTCCACTTGGGATGGGGGTTTCTCCTTCCCGGGTAAGTGATGAAGGTGCCCAATATCCACTTCACTCAATTTATATTACTACACCATATACTACCCGCCTGGGCCTATTACCTTTCATCAACCCCTTCCCGTTACAAAAATTAGCTTTATCGTACTCCTCACTGAGAGCACCAGTTTCCGGAGACAAACCCACCAAAATATAGATATTGCCTTGCAGGTAGCGAAAAGTACCCGTTTTGTTGTTTGCGTTGCACCATTTCGTCATAAAAATGAAATTAGCTGTCGTTCATTTAGGCTTAGCGTGCTGGCTCTGGTCCCGTTCCACACGGTTGCTTAGACTAGATCCTAATGACCTAAGGATCATGCTAATGATAATCTCTTCTTCCACCCTCTCGGTTGATACTCTACCTTTTTTATTTCAATATTATTTCGTTTGTTTTTTGTTTGGCATTTTTGTCTTGCTTGATTTCCTTTTTGTTTGTTGGGTTTTTTGTCTTTCTTAATTTTTCCCCATTTGTTGTTTAGTTTTTTTTTGCTACGTATTGCTTCTTTTTCTCTTGATTGCATAATGTATGGAAGAAATCGAGTTTTATATTTCTGCAAATCTTTATCTCTGCAAATCAATCAGGCATTATTCTGTCTAAAACAAAAAGGGGGGGGGGGAAGGAAATGGGAACAGGGGTAAATGGGTGATGTCAGTGTAGACGGCTTTCGTCGCGTTCAATTAAGTAAGTATTATTCACCCAACTATTTAAATCACATGTATGTTTTCATGAGTGGGCGAAGGAACGATAAGAGATCGTGGCTGAGCAGTGGTTTCTTTTCAAAGGAGTACATTCCCGGTTTTGTCGGATTTGATTGAACCTTGAAACTCTCATTTTTGGGGTAGCAAGTACGAGGAACGAGTTAAATGACGATGTAGCGGCTGCATCTTCCGTGGACGACTTCAGCAACAAGTCATATGTCTCTGCGGACAGGACATATGAGGAGCAATCCCGATGTACAGGTAAGTACCTTTGGAAGTGGTCGAGACGCTTTCACCATAAATGGTGCATATTCGGAAGGATATGTCCATCATAGCTGAATCTTGGGGGTTGGGTCTTTGAACCTTTGCCATAATGACTTCCGACGACTATGTGAGCAATGCAGGGTGATACGGCATGCAGGTAATAAAAATGATGTTTATTCCATCACTCCTTTATGACCATTTATGGCAATAGTGTTCCTCTGAACAATCGGATATATACGTAAGTTCTCGAGGAAAGCAGTAAAAGGAGAAAAAAATGCAAAGAAAACACTTTTAAATCCAAACAGAATCGTTCCATGGGAAGAAAACCTATTATTTCCAAGGTTTGTGGAGCGAAAAATGCATTATTACCATTCCTTTATCATAAAATTTCAATTACTAAATGTTGTTTAACTAATTCAGTTGTAATTCTTCACCAGATGAAGAATAGACGTCTTGCATGAATATCTTGTTTCCCGAATTTGGAGTAGAATCTGATGTCATGATAGGCAGTTTCACTGCCAATGATCCTACTATTCTTAATTTATTCTCTTAATATTTTGTACTAGAAGAAAATATATTTCAAACAGATGCCTGCAAAATCCATTGTGAGAAAATTTGGCTTAATGATGGTTTAAACGTGTTGTGGTTCCCTTACCACCCTGAATTAAACGCAATGGACTCCCTCACCCTAGAGCACGTCTCGCCTTTTCTTTGAAAAAAAAAATACTGCTTCAGGATCTTTGTTTTCTCGCGTAGAAGGCGGCCATGGTGCTGACCAGTGACTCGTGTCCGAAGACGAAAGCTTCCCAACCGTCTTCAGAACGAATCATCTTGACTCCCAATTCCTGCAACTCGGCCAGTTCGTCTTTGAAGGGATCGTGTTGAGGAGAGTCTCTCAAGTTCTCCATCTTCACTGCGACGTCCTTGGCCGCCATCAGGGCCTGCAGTTTCTCTGGATCGTTGGATGCCGTCGGAATGAGGGTGTTCTCGATGTATCCGACCAGACTGGTCGTGTCCGCCTTAAGTGCCAGTTTCTCTAGTCGCACCAAGCTGGTGTGAGCCTTATGAATGAGGGACTGGACTTCCAACTGTTTCTTCTGGAATTCGCATGCCAGGTCCTGTAGGCTATATTTGGCTCCTCTCAGGTTCCCCATCTCTTTCTCCTGCTGGAATTTCTCTTTCAGTTCCTTTAACTTCTCCAAACCTATAACAAGAATAAAAGGTTTCGATGATTGAGATTAGTACGGATAATATATGTATAATGACGGCTGCAATGCGTTTACTATCTTGAGGTGAACGATTCCACATTCCATACATTGTGCATGTCATGGCCTGCAGTGATCCAATTTCAAAAGACTCATGGTTTCTTCTTACCATTTTGGACTTCCTTCTGCAAGCACTTCAAGGTTTCTTCTATGGATAGCCTCCTTTGCAATACTTCTCTTGTGACGTACAAGGCTGAGGATTCAGAGGACTCCAGATGTTCGCAGAACAACTTCATTTTCTTCAAATTCATTTCCCACAGAAGCATCTTCATTTGAGTCCCGGTTTGGGGATTGCTGAAGACGGGTGAGTTGTTGACATTGAAGATTTCGCGATAAGGGATCCCCGCTTTCTTCAGAGCATTTAGGGCCGGGGGATCCAAGTCGTCTGAGAATGTTACGATGGCAACGAACCTGTCCTCGACGTCCTTCCCGAAGGCCCTCAAAACCGAGTCGAAGACGTATTTCTGCTCTGCTGTCATTCTGCCGCCACTTACCTGAAGAACGAGTCCCACCGCGTGGATGCGAATGATGTCATACTCTTGTCCCTCCTTGAAGAGTTTATGAAGTTTTTCCACCAGTTTTTCGTCCGCGTCTGGGCCACTCGTATCTGCGAATCCTGGAGTGTCGATGATAGTCAAAGTGTGTGGAAATCTGGATCCTTGCTGGGCGTGGATTATATAGGCTGATGCCTCTATCGTACAGCTTTTGTAATTTTCAGACTCTAATACTTTTTCATGTATAAGCTTGAATCGGAATCCATCCTCCCATTCCACCCCGAGGATGTAGTTTACCAGAGAGTTGATCAAGCTGGTCTTGCCTGGAAGGAGAACGAAACGACGCATTCTGTGAGACGCTGTTTTATGAAATTTGTATCATAATCCTCCACCTATCCGAGGTTGAAGATGCAATCCCACGCAGCATGTTTATGTTAATTTTACGTAAAATGAATGCAAGTTTTTGTCCATTTGATATATTTAACGCAAACCATCAGCAAGATAATGTCAACATGTTTGCAGAAATGTACCACTGTAATACGCAAAGGGTGATATAAAATTAACGTAAATTTTATGCAAAATTGACATTCCCGTTTGCATTCCAAACAACATGTTTACATTCATTTTACGTAAGATTTATGTTAATTTCCCCCTGGCATTCATGCGTATTTAAGGAGTTAACCAGTACCATTGAAGAGAATTGGCATACTGAATCTCCTATTCCTTTACGTTCTTCAGAACTCAAGGGTGGTTGGGCGAGTACACAAGTACTCATCCTCACCAGCACTCAAGAGTACCAAGATGACACACTGCTTCCTCCTCCCGTGCCAGAACCTCGGGAGGAGAAGTAGATGTTTAAGGGAACTCTCTTTTATTCAAGACGGAGAAGGTATAATACTTGTGGAGCTGGCATTCTACTCTCCCCTATTCCCGTGCGCTGCTGTAATAACAACCTTAGCTTCAGCATTTAATGATTCCCTGAGTCATATATTATTTTTAAAATATATAATAATTTCATGCTTTCCATATATATATTCATGGATTGCATAATACAAAGTGGAAGGATGAAAAGAAAACCTGATACTATACCAGGAAAAGCTGAATAACCTGAAAACCTGATATCTACCTATCACTTTTCTAAAATTTTTATATTGTTTCCCTTGAAAATCACTATCGTATACAGTTTTTTTCACCATTATGTGAAAGTGACGTGGCGGCATGAGTAGTTTTGGGCCGGTAGACTAACGACGGGGCTTTATCGGAAATTGATATGTGTGAATCCCGTGAATTGAGGATAAAACCGTTCAAAATGGATTCCTTCATCCTGATAAAGCAAGGCACATATCCTTGACGTCTCTTCAGAAGAATGTGAAAAAAAAGAAAGAATTCCAAGCGAAATTCCGCTCGGAAATCTCCGAAATTCTTATTTTCCTCCCCATCCTGGTGTTCTCCAGTCGCATTTAGACACAAACGCACCCTGACGGCGATTAGAGCTTTCAGGTGCGGTTTTTGGACGACTCACCTGACCCAGTCATTCCGACAAGCATGACGATTTTCCCGATGCAGCTCACCGGCACATCGGGCTTGAGAACATGATAGATGCCGTGGGAGTATTTTTCCCAACATGCCACCTCCTTTCTCAGTTCGTACAAGTCATACCCATTGATTTTTCCCAGTGGAATGGATACCTTTCGAATTCTCTCCGCCAATCTCTCCCTCGTCACCACCTGGTAAAAGATAGATGGAAATGGACTAACTGCACGGCAAAAAAAGTTTTCTGACAACATTGTCCGCTCGGTCTCGAACCTTCGGCGACGGGGGAGGGCGGATTCCCTCCCTGGGTTCTGGCTTCCTTTTTTCATCTGCGTTTGTTGGCTTCTTACTCCTGTTAAAGAGATTTCCATGTTCAAAGGTAGCTTCTCTCTAGAAAAGCATTAAATAGGCTTATATTGTGATAATGAATTCCAGCAGAATTTAAACTCTCGCACCGTCTCAACGGACAACAATATTGAGGAGTGGCTAAATCTATTTATGTCAGGCTGTACCACTTACGCTGAGGACGTTTGGGGGTGTTCATAGCCAATAATTTTATGGTTGGAGAGTTGCAGAGAAATGGTAAAATCTATCATTTGGTGAAGGAGAGTGTCGCTCGCCTTGGCAATTCCGCGCGAAATTTGTTTTCACCGTATTGATGTCTTAAAAGCGTTTCAAAATGAGCAGCTATTCTTTCAGTTCTAAACAAGAAGAAACTAAAAAGTAGAGCGTACTCCGACGCAGCTATCTGGAAACAGGCTAATTTCGTATCCAAAGGAGTACAATTGCATATGCATCCTCTACGAGTGCAATACAAAAGTACCCCGTGATACCCATTATATGTATCCATGAGAAACAAAAAGGCACCCCCAGGATCATTTCTGCACCTCAAATACTGTACCTTTTTGCAACCAGTGAGTAAATATATGCACACAGCTCATACTGTTGTACATATGCTCCTCTCACAGTATGTCACCTATACCATTCGCAGACGCGTTTGTACCTTAAAGATAATTATCGCGGTCCATTTGCAATTCTCAGGGCATACATTTCAACATCTAAAAGCCATATTTGTGTCCTTGTCGGCATACGCGCTCCCCTGTTGCAGTCTGATTAACACCATTGAGAGGAATGCATTTTGTCTCTATAATGTACAGGTCGATTGCATGTAAACTTTAGGGGGCAATGTATATGCTACTTTCGCATTTTCATGTGTACCCTGAAAAGAAACTCCTTTAATCATTTCAGAGACCGTCTGGACCGTTGTGGGAAAACTTTTACCCCAAGTTGCATGCTTCTTGTTGCTGTGCATATGTTGTACCATTTCTGAGAACCTAAGCTTTTCAGGTACGCTCCATGAATTTTTTTGTCATTTTCCCCCCAACATCTAGAAAAATCACGTGCCTTGCATGCAAGAGTCATTATATAATGCCATGCGAGGGGCACAAAGGTTCAATACATCCAATACATTATATGAAGTTAAAATTGAGAAAATGATACGTGCCCAAGTTGTAAGATTAAAGAGCAATCCCATACCTCTGGAAGAAGATCTTCTTCAATGTCTGAACGAATCCCGTTGGTTTCCGGAGAAACTGGACCTCGCACTCGTCGTCATCGAAGGAGAGTTGCAATCCAATCTGCTTGAGATCTTCGAGACGCTGGTCGAAAGGGTCCCAGCCTACCTGGTTCCTGACGGTGGACAGCCACTTCGCAGCTTCGCGCGAGGCTTCTAGGGCTTCCATTTTACTCTTGTTTCCTTCATCTTGAGCCTGTCGGATGAGGAGGTCGATGTACTCGACCACGGTGAAGGCGTCTGGTTTCAGGGCGATTTCCTCCAGTTCACAGAAGCTGGCGTGGGCCTGGCGGATCAGTTGATGTACCTCCAGTTGGGTGGATCTAAACTGCCGCCCGACAATCATCAGCTTTTCCTTATTCGCTTCTCGTTTATGAGCCTTCTTCTTCACAGTTTCGTAGTAGTTCTGCAGTGTTTCGAGTCGATTGAGACCTGAAGAGTTTGGTTATTGTTATTGTCACCTCCCATAGTCTCGCTCGAGATGGCTAAGGTCTGCGAAAGGCGTAAGGTTTGACCTTGCTTTACTCCCATTTCACAGATTACATTCCCTTCAATATTGTCTATGATACCTGTTAAAGAACTTCTTCGGACAAATAAAGCGTTACTCTCAAAATCTTCTTCCAGAAGAAATGGCCAACGGGATTGCGGTTCGGTGACGGAGCAGGTGGAACACTAGGCAAAAAATTCCCCAGAAGAAATGTAGTGCGCATGAATCATGCTAATCATGATGGCCAGGAGACCGATACCTTCTGTCTGTTGCATGCCACGGAGTGCTTGATAACGTCACCTTTTCACCTGTTTAGCACAGAATCCTCTGTATGTGGTTTTGTGCAAGCATCGTTTTCTCTGCTCCTGCACACAGCTTGTTTTGTTACAGTGATTCTGACTGTTGCAAATAAAAATCCTGTAACCTTCAGTTCTTCCGGTATATTGTTTATATTTGTTTCTGTTTAAGTGCAGATATTCGAATACATTCAACTTTATCATGAGCTCCATTAAAAATGTAATGCAATGAGTTACTCTTATTATTCCCACCGAGGCCCACATGAAAATGAATGCATTCAAATTGTTTATATTTCATGCAACGAACCTGTAACGAGGTGGCGAACTTCGATTTCTTTAGAAATGTGTCAAATCCAAGTTTCCCAATAAGTGCCTCATATCAGGAAGGACTTTCCCACATCTTGGAAAGCTTCACGAAAAGCCTCGAAAAGTTTATCTTTTAAATATTTCAAGAAATAACAGATAGCACAAATAACAGCAGGACCAGAGGGAGCGGTTGCGATAAGGGCTTCTATTTGTATTTACTCACTGCCGGCTTGTCATATGTGACTTAGATAATTTCAGAGGCTATCGGGAAGGGCATGTGATAAGAAATGCGATATGAGTAAGGAAATTTCCTGCCAATAGTTTAGGGACTTCCTTATACTCGAAATACGAGGGCAAACGGGTCATCTGCGTCGTTTTCCGATTGTCATGTAGAATTCTAGTTTCACAGAGTTAATAATATCTCAAGCAGACAAAAGACAAAAGAGAGACTAACCTTCTTGGACTTTTTCCTGCAGCTTTTGGATCTTCCTCTCGATGGTTTCCCTTTGCATGATGACCCGCTTGGTTCGGGTGGTGCTCACCGGCGTGGCATCCACCAGCATCCCAAAGTAATCTCTCATGCATGTCATCATCGTGTCCCAGACGATCGCGCTCTGTTGGTTTCTGTTGAAGAGACAACTGTTGTTGACGGCATAGGTTCCACTAATGGGGATACCAGATTTTTTCACCACTTCGACGGCCGGAGGAGTCTGGCAGACATCGGCGAAAGTGATCAAGAGGTGGATATTGCTGACCACATCATTGCCGAAAATTCTCTGAAACTGTTCGAAGACGTAGGAGTAACTAGCCGTCAACCGAGAAGTCGGAGCAGACACGACGAGCCCGATGGAATAAAGGTAGTTGATTCCCTCTGCGTTGTTGAAGAAGGCTCCGAGCATGGAAAACGTGTCGTCGTCCAGTCCCTCGGTGTCCCCAAACCCCGGCGTGTCCACGATGGTCACCGGGTATTTAAACCGAGAATTCTGCTGGGGATGGATGACGTAGGCGGAGACTTCCCGAGTCTGGCTCTTACTTTCATCCTCTCCTGCCGCCACCAACCGGAACCTGCGGTCGTTTTCCCTCTCCACGCCCAGCAAGTAGTTCAACATCGTACTTATCAAGGTCGTTTTCCCTTGAAAGTGAAAGAAGCAGACATGATTGCGATTGAGGGTTCAACACCACACAACGACAGCATAGTTTTTAGTCAGTGAGGGATCTTCGCAAATTCTCTCCCCCTCTCCCACTCCTCATTTTCACAGTGAGAGGATCAGGGACGCCAAAAGGGGTTGGGCTAAGAAGTCCAGATGAGAAAGTTTACCGAATTCGAATTAAGACGTTGTGTGGAGAGAATAGTCCACTTTTCTCAACAAGAAAAGACTTTAACTGATAAAACGACTTTCTCTCGATTAGCAGGGTGCAGAGCTATGCCAAAATGAAGTGGCTGCTTCACTTACATCAGGGGATGGTGGGTGTTAGAGGCAAGGGATTCGCATAATGAACATTTTAGTGCATTCCAAATAGTAAATTACGTCAGTGCAAAGACCTCTTGAGGACGATGTATTTCTTTAGATGGCGAAGGCCCAGGACAGATGCAACCGCTGCAATAGTGAATTGCAACTTTCCACATGAAATTAACGTTCTCGTGATGGGCACTAACTTGCAGCACATAGAGCATGATGCCCGGCATCGAGAAATTATTGGGTCGGCACCAATGTCCAGTGATATACAGTATATAGTCCCAGGCTAAAGCATCATGTTCATTACATAGTTGCCATCAACGAGCATGAAAAAGCCCAGTGGTTTTGGACACGTTTCTTTCTACGGTGTACCCACCCACGATGATTGAAGGGAAAGTCGGCTACTTTCGTCGTTTCGGAAGTCCGTGTCAGAAGGATTTGTGGAGGTTCGTGACCTCTTTTCACTTCATCTATGAAATTGCTATCCACCCATCTACCCTTCTCTAGCAGGAAGTGTGGCACCAACCTTCTTTGTACAAAAGAGCGACAAAATTAAAAAAAATTGACCACCACCCACCCCCTTGCGGTAGTGGTGGTGGTCAATTTAATTGGGGGAATTTACTTCAAGGAAATTGTACAGTACGTCACTGCTCAAGAAAACGGTACCGGAAGATGAGACAGCAATTCGCATATCTGTTGAGTTTTCGGGAGAGTCGCTGCAATGCCAATTGAATATCTTTTAAAATGAGAATTCGCTATCTACAATTTACTGTGATTGACTGCGTCACCTTGCCCGTCACAGCATCTCAATAAGATTGCGCGCAAGTTCCTTATAACTTTTCCCATATTTTCCTGAGATCTCCACAAAGTTTTACTTTGTTTGGTTCCTTTAATTTCGTTCCCATTTAACTAGGTCTACTTAGTTTCTAATTCCCCATCTAATACTTTAATTGGAAGAGGCCGAAAGTTGTCATGGCTGTCACTCCTAACGCGGCCTACGATGCTATGCCATTCCAGGCCATCCAAGGCTCTGTCATTCTGAGCCATAGGCTAGGCCAGGGGTGCACAACATATGGCCCGCCACGACTGGTGGCCCTGTGATATTACGGCTTGTCACTACGCCTTGTCGGCCATAGCTATGGAAGTAAGTTATCGGAGTAGATGCGGCCCGCGGTACGTAAATAAAAATCCTAAGTAGCTCTCACAATAATTTGAGTTATACACCCCTGGGCTAGGCCATTCGTGATATATTTGTGAGCTGTGCTCTCGATGATAATAAAATTAGCTGGGTGGCAACACTTTCGAATTTCTCGAGGTTTCGAGAAATGCTCAATATCTTTATGTAAACATTTTCACATTCCCGCCCGTTAGACGGCCAACGTAGCGGCCGCTGACAGCTAGTAATTTCTATATTTCTAAGAATGGCTTCGCAGACCCCCTGAAGCCTTGCCACCGCTTGCCACGGACCCCGAGGACCCCCGTTTCAGAGATGCTGGTCTAATATCTAAAAAAGCGTTGTGAATCAGGAACACGCAGAGTACCGCCAGTTTACACGATTTTGGGGATGGCAGCGTGTACATGAAGCCAATTATTCGCTCTCAAGCTGAGAGCCACTCAATTCCATAGGAATATCTTGCCCAACTTTAGCCATTTCAGACCTGGCGTCTATTCCAATGGAGAGTGCATTTGCATTGTGTCTAGGGGAATTTCTTCGGATTCTCGTAACTTTGCGCTCTCTATTACACAACAGTGGGCGCAATTATGTATGGCTCAGTTCTATCAGAAGCCTTCTTTCACCCATTAGTTTTGTAATCTTCAGTTATTTAATTAAATGTATAATATATAATGTACGGTATGATGTGGTAAATTTATACAAAATATGAAAACTGCATATAAAGCACGAAAAATTCAATTACTATCACGAAAGAGCTCAAAAATCCAAAAAGGATATTATTCCGATAGCGGCCTTAATTCAGGTCTGAAAGGGTTAGGCACACTGGCCTTAGAGCCCTGCACGGGCCGATTTTCCGGTACCCGACCCTATAGGCTCGATTCAAATCATGGCCCGCGCCCGACCCGCAACCCGAATTCTAACCCAACTAGACTGCCCGACCCGAGCAAAATTTAAACACTCTAAAGGTTAACGTTTTTAATTGTAATGCGTATTTCCACCTAATTCCAAGATGCTTTGCAAAAACTGTCAATTGACAGGAGAAAATTTCTCGGAAGAGGAGTCATACAGATTCCGGTCAGGAGTGGCGCTAACTATGCCATGCCCGTCTCCAATTCTTCCTTCCTTTTTATATGGGGTGATTTAAAATAAATGCTCTACCGTTTTCTAAGGGAGAAACGCAGTTTCATGAGTGCAAAATAAAAATTTACATTGGTTACGTGATCGACGTTGAACGGTTATAAGGTTTTAAAATGCATGTCAGCTTTTTTTTCAGCTGCCCTGCCTAAGTCGTGCAATGCCCATTTAGAGGTGATTTAAAGGTGCTTAGAAGTGGATCATACCACCTTAAGTGAGGTAATGATTTGCGCTCGACTGTCTCAGAATTCAATTAAATTTGGCAAACCGTCGGGTTGTTTTGAGAAAAGCCCGCAGAAAAAAAACCATACGTCTATTCTTCGAGCGGAAGCCAAGAAAAGTGAGATTAATTTGATGGGGTGGGGGACACAAAATGGCCCCCAACCTCAAGATGTTAAATTCCTGACGGCTATTATGTCACTACCCTATTTCGATTGGCTATGACTTTTCAAGGGACAGTTGGATGCAGCTGATACTTCAGAGAGAAGTTCATGAGTCTGAGAGGTTTTCTTACGTCTGAAAGATGGCGCTGTGTGCCGATAGAGGGCGCTGTTCTTGGTCGAAGGGCCCCCAATCTTCGTGTTGCGCCATGTTTTATATAGGAAAAAAAAAAACTAAGTTTTTTATCTTTAAACCTTACACGGGCCTCTCTGCCGAATATCAGTTTATCTGAGAGCACTTTCAAAAGATTTGGTCTGGATTTGGCTAATTTAAAATATATGAATTTAGTCAAAATCGGTTTAAGGCCAAACTGGGCAAACTACACTAATTGAACTTGAGGCGATGGAGCAACACCTTGTGTATGTCCAATATCAAGAGTTAATCAATCTTATCAGTTTTTTTTGCTCGGCTATACGAATCTTATACTTTCTCCCATAGAAAACGGCGAAGCGCTTTTTTTTTTCAAAATCACCCTATACATTCATGGTCACACAATGAAATATTTTCCTTTCCTCGGATCATATGCATGAATAAGATTCCGGGCATGACATGGTCACAGACCAAAGAATATTCAAGAATTCGGCCCAACCCGACCCGACCCGAAGAAAGATCTTTGGAATTTCAGCCCTAGACGCCCCACAGATCGGGTCGGGTCGGGCCGATCGCAGCCCTTGAAGGGCTCTACCTGTATATTGGCCTTACCCGCTCCGGTTGCCCCAGCGAGAAGGATGACCTTGCCATAGGTGCGAAAGGGGAGAGTCCGTCGTCCTACGGTGTAAAAAACAAATTTCCCCTCCTTATCCATCACCGTCATCCACTTCTTCGGTTCATAGATTCTCAGTCCCTCCTTCGTGACTTCCACTTCGGTGGCTCCCTCGAAGACGTCTGGATCTTTTGGGCTATATCTTGATCGAAAGAAAGCACGGCTCTTTCAACTTTCCGTGTCGGTCCCACCGTCCTTGGGAAAGCACCAGCGACTTAGTATAAACTCACTCCAGTTCCTCTTCAAGGGGGGAATCGCTGTCATCGTCGTTCACTTCTTCCGTCCTTACCGGCTTCACACCCATTCGAGGCGAGGGACGCGGTCCCTGCTTCCGGTTCGTATCCAGTTCTTCTAGCACCTTCGAGGATTCGGGATTTATCGTCGACTCCAACTTCGGCTTTGGCTCGAAACGCCTTGGCAATTTTTTCTCATCGTCGGGCTTTTCGGTGGCGACGATGCGGAAGGTGCATCCTTTGTTTGGAATATCATCGGGACTCTCGACCAAATGAGAACCTCTTTCGCCGCACAATTCCAATCGTACGTCCATTTCGGGTGGGATTTGGAAGAGGTTCCTCGCTTCTTCCAGTAGGTGTTCCTTCCTAGCCCGAAACACCTTCTTCGTCTTTCCATCGTATACGAGACTGTACATATGCGCAGCCATCTCTCTGTAGAAGAGAGAGCAATTTTGAATGAAGGTTTCGTTTCTCCACGAAGCGGTTCCTCTTTCTCGCGTCACGTAGTTCAGTCCAAAGAAAGATTTATGCGATCGGTGAGGCGAAAAAAAAATAAATTCGCGATGAAACTCAGTTAAGCTCCCGTGAGGTTATGCACGCGGATCTGCAATTCCCCCCCCCCAGGGGGTTCCATCGTAATTTTGCGATTTCAGTCACATCTCGATGGAACCGGTTGCAGTCGATCACAGTCACAAGGGTCGTTCCGTGTGAACTCAATCAATATTGAGATAAAATGGCGCCCGACCATCTCGAATTTCGCGATAAAACTTTTCAACGATTGCAGTCAATCTAACAACTCCGAAAAAAAAGATTCGTTCCCATCATATCTGCGATTAGTGAAATATCGGCCTCCGAACTTTAGAGAAATACGAAAAAACTCAGCGGACGGCAAAAGTTGCATCTTAGGAACCGTACGGAGACGTTCAATTGCTCGAACCGGAACTCTTCAAAAGGTGAACAATTCGCTCCATGCATCTTCAAGATAGGCCCCTAGGATTCTGGAGAATAAATAAACCCAAGGACCTTGGATAGATTTCTTCCATGGATTCCTATATAAATATTTAGCCTGTGAACACGGGATTAATTCTGGGACCATCGCTACAAGTTTCATGAAGAGCATGTATTCACTTTTTCATCTGCGAAACGTTTTTTCGAAGAAATGATAACAAAACTGAATTTACGGAATTCATGAGGGAAAGAAGGAACGAACTGAATACCCACACGAAGTCTTGTTGCTGATAAAAATGAAGAGTCTGATTACGATATCCCACTCTTCATCCCGGATTTTTCCGTTTCTGGAAAAGGCTCACTCATGTGAAAATCAACTTCGAAGCAAAGTCGATAGTTCCTTGGGGTGAGGAGTTGGTCTACCAGCAGGAGATGCCTGAGTCAAGGGACTTGATTTCGCTGTCCGACGCGAAGCAGGGACGGGGTTCCTTTTATCTCCATTGTTCACGGTGTCTACACGAGGACTGGGCCTGGCAGCACTCAGGAGTGCTGTGCCGTCACGTGTTCGAGGAGGACGCGTCTCCATTGGAGTTATCGTAGCTCGCTCTTTCCTTTCTTCACTCCAGGATGAAGCGGCCGATGAAAAAAAGATGGGCAAGTCCAGTCCAGTAGTGGGCCTCCTTTCATTTCAGGAGACCCGCATTTTGTCCCCTAATTGAACAAATGCCATCTCCTACCGGTCCCCGGCCATCAAACATAATTTTCCAGTTACGTTTGAAAATTACTCATGGTGGTGAAATGAAGATGGGAGGATGGAGGGTTGTGCGTGCTTGGAACCGTCCACCACGAAGGTTGGTTGGGAACTGACAGTTCTGGTTGCTGACACGGTACCACACCCAAAGCCTGGATCGTTCGCGCATGCGCATTGTAATCCAGATCCTGAAAGGCTCACGGGTACTCATGCCTTCCACTCCGTGATCAAATTTCAAATCCAAAATTTGCAGTAAAAATGCCAATTTTGGAACAAATTCTCCACGAAACGAACTCGGTACGTATCTTGTTTATATCTAATTGCTTGTCAATTGGTCAAGCCAATGTTTTCTTAGTTATCGTCGGACAATCAAAGTGACACGGACACACAGACGGACAGGACAGGACGATAAGTGATCTTTTTTCTTTCAGGAAAGGAGGCCCATTGAAAAGTAACTCCACGCGTCCTCTTGAAACGCTCTGAAACATAGGCGTGGAAGTGAACAGGGGTCTGCACGATCTCTCGCCTGAGGTTTCGAAGATTCATTGAGTAGGCCAGTAGAACTCCTTCTTGACATCGAAAAGTGATTGCCATCGCCGACCGGTGACCTCAGCACTTCCCTCGCCTGGCATCTTCTTCGACTTCGTGATGAGAGACTTGAAATCTTAAATTGGCAAAGGACTTGACTACCCATTGCTCACAGTGGCAAAAGCTCCCCAGAAAACATTCCGCGCGGGGAGAATTTTATATCAGAATCGTCCTTTTGTTGATAATCAGAGCCCAATATATCGGGACCAGGGCGTTTCGTAGAAAACAGATTCACCGAAAGCTCCGTTTCGCGGACAAGTCGCTTCACCGAATAACCGGTTTTAGCGTGGAGAGTAGTTTTGTTGAAAGTCGTATGCTAGACAGAACCTGTTAGCATCAGCCGAGCTGAAAGTCTTTTAGCCTTGACGGCTTCTGGACATCATTTGCAAAGGCTTGCACAGCCCAACCCTCTTACATTTACGCCGTGAATCCCGCTCGAAAGAGGATGCACTGAAGTTGCGGAGTCATATCATAGGGAGCATTTCATCCCTCTGCAGATATTCCGCGGCCCTGCGAAGCGATGGACAGGGCAGGGACACATGATTGATAGCTCGCTGAATTGTGTTTGACTTTAAGTGAAAATGACATGGAGTTCTTAACTGGAAGTGCCCATGGGTCGGCTCAAAACTTCGACAGTAACATACAATAAATGGCACTTTCAAGATGAACTCATGACATCTTCATGAGATTTTATGAGACGAACAGCTCACTTGAAATTGCATCGATGCCGGTGGGGGGGGGGGGGGTGATGCTGTACCCCATAGTGTCGGGTATGTCGTTTATAATATGTAGGTAGCACTTTCCACTTGCTAGCACATTTACCAAGAATGGTTGTAAGTGAACTTTTAATTGTTACCGATGCATCCTTGAGGCATGGGGCCTGATCCCCAGAGTTGGATGCAGAGCAGCCTGGGTTGCCAGGCGAGACGGAGCCGGATGTCTTTGGTGACACTTTGAGTCGTCTCAACTTTATTGAAGTGTGCAGCATTAGAGTAAACTTGGTGTGAACTAAGTGTGTAAAGTGTTGCTCTTCTTCTTCTTCTTCTTATCCGTTCAGTCGAGTACGTCTCTCGGCCACACTATGGATCAGTGTTCTCCATGTCTTCCGATCTCTCACGGCTTCTTTCAATTCTGCTATGTTCAATCCAGTATCTTTCTTGATGGTATCTAGCCAGCGAGTTCTTGGGTGGCCTCGTCTTCTTTTGCCACTGACCATTCCAAGCATGATGTCCTTCTCAAGCGACTTGCTTCGCATGATGTGACCAAAGTAGGAGAGCTTTTGCTTTGTCATCTTCCCCTCCAGTGAGATTTTCGGTTTGATCCGTTCCAGAACTTTTTGGTTTGTTATTCTGGCTGTCCACGGAATGCGTAACAGACGTCTCCAGCACCACAGTTCAAATGCATCGATCTTTCGCCTGTCTGCCTTTCTCAGCGTCCAGGTTTCGCAGCCGTATGTTGTTATTGGGAAAACGATTGCACTGACCAATCTGCATTTGGTTGCCAAGCTGATATCTTTGCTCTTCCAGATGTTGTACATACTGACCATCGCATTTCTTCCAAGTGCCAGCCGTCTCTTAATCTCAGGGGTGCAGTCGCCATTGCGATCAATTTTGGAGCCAAGAAAGATGAGATCTTCAACCACTTCAATTTCTTCATTGTTGATCTTGATATTGATGTTCGAATTTTTTGCTGTTGTCATGATCTTTGTCTTTTTGATGTTCAGGCGCAGTCCAACCTTCTCACTTTCTTCTTTGACTATCATGATCAGATGTTCGAGGTCCTTCTTGTTTTCAGCCAGCAGGGTGGTATCGTCGGCGTATCGGAGGTTGTTGATGTTTCTGCCGCCTATTTTCACACCAATCTTGGACTCATTCAGGTCTGCTCGCCGCATGATAGCTTCTGCGTACATGTTGAAAGCTGCTGGTGACAGGATGCATCCTTGACGTGTGCCCTTTCTGATCTTCAACCATTCCGTGTCTCCATATGGCGTTCGGACTGTAGCTTTCTGATCTTGATAGAGAGATCTTATGAGTTCGGTCAGGTGTGGTGGTGTGCCCATTTCCTTCAGGCAGGTCCAGAGCTTGTTGTGCTCAAGGACATCGAACGCCTTCGAATAATCGCGATAAAGTGTTGCAGTGTCGCATATACAGTACATTTAACATGCACCAATCCCTAAAAGAAATGGGCGACCTGCGAATTCGGCAATTGAGTGAAAATTTCATGAATGTGTCGAAGCTAAAATCTTAAATCTGAACTTGGAACATGGTAATCCTCACCTGACAAAGTGCTGCTGGGTAGCAACTTGGTATCATGCCCCAGGTGTCCCCCTACATTTTCAAACAATTCTATCCCATTTGCACCATGTGTTTGGCGATGTCACCAGCTACAAGACTTGAAATGAAAGGATTGGCAATACTTTCTCAAATAGATTTTATTTGAAAAATAAAGTTTGATCTCTGCCGCCAAATCACAAGGAGGCTACCGCCCATCACGTTCAAAGCTCAACCGAAATTTTGATATTGGCCTTGGCCTTGGCCTTGCCCTTGAGATAGGTAGTACGAATACGGGTTTTGGTAGATTTCGTAGTTGCCGAAAATGCAGTCGCAGCACTCCTTCTTAAAGTTGATGACGCAGCAGAAGAAGGCAGCTCCTTGTTTGACGTAACAGCAGGTGAATTGGTTGCAGAGAGACGAAGGCAGGAAAGTCCGCTTGTTTCGGGTCACCCCTTTCTCCTCTTCCGCCTCCGTCTCGGGTCCGAAGGAGCTTAGATACGCAGTTGCCTTTGGGCCTTCCTGGCGAGTAGACTTCCCCGCTGCGAACGCCGACAGGGTGAGGAGGAGGAAGGTGCATTGCGTCGCGTGGTTCCATTTCATTTCTCCTAAGGATAGAGAGTGATAATTCTTTTGCCCATTTGAACACTCAGTGTGAGTGTCGAAGTCAAATGAAAAAAAGTGTGACTCAAAAGAAAAACACTGGAGCCGTATGCGGGACAAAAGAGCGTTTTCTTCTACGCTTTCTAACGCACTCTGAATAAATTCCATGTTCATAACTTTGTAATTTTGCACAGTGACAATAACACTTGATGAGAGAGAGAGAGAGAGAAAAAGAGAGATGCGAAAGAGAGATAAGAACCCTTTCTTGCAAGTTCGACGCCGTAAATATTGTTGTTGTTCGGATTAAAAAAAAATCATTCACACTTCAAGAAGAAACTCAGCTTAAACACAAATCGTGCTGCAGGGATCCGCAGATTTTTTCATTTGGGGCAGGAAAAAAAGCATGCTTTCTATGGCTGTGTCCTTGTTACAAGGCCCTTGACTGTGCATCATCATCATGTCGCAGCTAAAAAAAAAAGGAAGACCTCCCAACAATAAAGGTGTGTAATGACGACAAAGATTGATGTTAGCTCGGAAGGTGAAACCTCACGGTCTCAGACATTCCGAAATCCACGGACTCCGTCTTTTCCAACTCATACTTACACCACGGCGAGGTCTTCTTTTTTAGCTGATGACGCCGCATAGTCAAGAACACTACACCAAGGACACAGCCATAAAAATCAGGCTGCTGGCTTCGGAAGGTGGATTTTTTTATTATCGTATTGCTGAAAACGCTGCAGCACGAATTTATAAAGGCTTCTTGAAATTTAGAAACGTGAAATTGATTACTGAATGATCGTGACTTTTTTTTAATTCAAACGCCCGAGAGATTTAGATATTATAGGAGAGCAGTTTTTGAGCCTTTTTTTCACGGGTATTTTCAAAATTGTGAATCTTGCCTTTCCACTGTAGGAGGAAGCATTGAACAGGATTTTTATCCAGTATATTTCATCGGAGAGAACTCCACTTTGCCCTTCACTGAGCTTTTTCTAGCTCTTGTCCCTGTTCAGGGACTTTTTGGAGGCCCTCGTATTTTAAACAAGATGGCGTGATGAAATCAGCCCCAGATATTCATCGAAGTGCCGATTACACACCTGATACC